GGAAGACCCTAACACCTTTTTCTCCCTTTTGATTCTTCTCACAGGCTTTGCATATTTTCAAATAAAAAAACATGCAAAAGCATGTGAAAGCAAATCTGAACTCTAGGGCTTTTTTCTGGTATGTGCCCTGAAGGATCTGATTTTTGCATCCGGTCTTAACATGATTCTCACAACAGAGCTGTGTCTTGGTCCTAGGGTTTGTCCCTTCAATCAGGATACGTTTTCTTCGTGAATTATTAAATTGAGGTTTGAAAACACGGGATAAAGCCTGGCGGCATCACAATTCCGGACTTCCAGCTCTATTACAAAGCTGTCATCATCAAGACAGTATGGTACTGGCACAAAAACAGACACATAGATCAATGGAACAGAATCGAGAGCCCAGAAATGGACCCTCAAGTCTATGGTCAACTCATCTTTGACAAAGCAGGAAAGAATGTCCAATGGAAAAAAGACAGTCTCTTCAACAAATGGTGTTGGGAAAACTGGACAGCCACATGCAGAAGAATGAAACTGGACCATCTCCTTACACCACACACAAAAATAGACTCCAAATGGTTGAAAGACCTAAATGTGAGACAGGAGTCCATCAAAATCCTAAAGGAGAACACAGGCAGCAATCTCTTCGACCTCCGCCGCAGCAACTTCTTCCTAGAAACATCGCCAAAGGCAAGGGAAGCAAGGGCAAAAATGAACTATTGGGATTTCATCAAGATAAAAAGCTTTTGCACAGCAAAAGAAACAGTCAACAAAACCAAAAGACAACCGACAGAATGGAAGAAGATATTTGCAAATGACATATCAGATAAAGGGCTAGTATCCAAAATCTATAAAGAATTTATCAAACTCAACACCCAAAGAACAAATAATCCAATCAAGAAATGGGCAGAAGATATGAACAGACATTTTTCCAAAGAAGACATCCAAATGGCCAACAGACACATGAAAAAGTGCTCAACATCGCTCGGCATCAGGGAAATCCAAATCGAAACCTCAATGAGATACCACCTCACACCAGTCAGAATGGCTAAAATGAACAAGTCAGGAAACGACAGATGTTGGCGGGGATGCGGAGCAAGGGGAACCCTCCTACACTGTTGGTGGGAATGCAAGCTGGTGCAACCCCTCTGGAAAACAGTATGGAGGTTCCTCAAACAGTTGAAAATAGAGCTACCATACGATCCAGCAATTGCACTACTGGGTATTTACCACAAAGATACAAATGTAGGGATCCAAAGGGGTATGTGCACCCCGATGTTTATAGCAGCAATGTCCACAATAGCCAAACTGTGGAAAGAGCCAAGATGTCCATCGACAGATGAATGGATAAAGAAGATGTAGTATATATACACAATGGAATATTATGCAGCCATCAAAAGGAATGAGATCTTGCCATTTGCAATGACATGGATGGAACTGGAGGGTGTTATGCTGAGCGAAATAAGTCAGTCAGAGAAAGACATGTATTATATGACCTCACTGATATGAGGAATTCTTAATCTCAGGAAACAAACTGAGGGTTGCTGGAGTGGTGGGGGGGTGGGAGGGATGGGGTGGCTGGGTGATAGACATTGGGGAGGGTATGTGCTGTGGTGAGCACTGTGAATTGTGCAAGACTGTTGAATCACAGATCTGTACCTCTGAAACAAATAATGCAATATATGTTAAGAAAAAAAAAGATGATAGCAGGAGGGGAAGAATGAAGGGGAGTAAATCGGAGGGGGAGATGAACCATGAGAGACGATGGACTCTGAAAAACAAACTGAGGGTTCTAGAGGGGAGGGGGGTGGGGGGATGGGTTAGCCTGATGATGGGTATTAAAGAGGGCACATCCTGCGTGGAGCACTGGGTGTTATGCACAAACAATGAATCATGGAACACTACATCAAAAACTAATGATGTAATGTATGGTGATTAACATAACAATAAAAAATTTTAAAGAAAAAAAAAGAAATATGAAAACACGGGATAGGCACCTGATTTTTTAAAGAAGGGCAGGTTCACTTTCTTGTGTTTTTGTTTTTTTTTTAAGATTTTATTTATTTGAGAGAGAAAGCATGAGCAGGGGGGAGGGGAGAGGGAGAAACAGACTCCCCGCTGAGCAGAGAGCCAATGTAGGGCTCTATCCCAGAAACCTGGGATCATGACCTGAGCTGAAGGCAGATGCTTAACCGACTAAAACACCAAGGTGCCCCCCCGTTTTTTTTTGATTCCTAAAAATTGCCTCTGTTTAAGTCATCTGTGTCTGAAAACGGAACTCCAGTGACTGCTCAGGAGACAGTGCTCCTTATCAATTCACATTAACTCTCCAGTGAAGTTTGCCTAATTTTCAAAGATTGTACATCTAATAGAGATGAAAGGTTGAACATATGCTATGAAAAGAAGAAAAAAAATTAGGTGGCAGTTTGCTTTTAGATTTTATTTTTATTTCATTAAGCGGATTTTCTAGCCTACAAAGGCTGCTCCTCTGAGATCCACTGGCAAATGTGGCCATGTCATTAAATTCATAATGACGGCTATTAGATGTATCTGAGCATTGACTGGATGATCAGTGATGAACCAAATATGAGTGAGTGTTTTTATTCCATTTGCTCAACATTAGTAAGACTCGTCCTGAAAGGGAGAAAAATTCGGTATGAATTTAAAGAGGAACTCATGTAATAGGCATCGAGGAGCTGTATACAGAACAAAAAATAAGCCACTCTCAGCTTCTCAGCCCTGGATACAGGAAACACATTTTCTCTCAGAAACTGATTTCCTTTCAGTCCTTGTAATTATTTGCTATAATCCTTTTGTTTTTTTTTCTTATTCCTTGGGTTGTTTCTTTTGGTTGGAGACCTCTGATGCCTGAAAGGGACCTTTGAAAATGACATAAACAGTGTTTCCAGGAATGGAAGTGTTTGGACTTTTGTCCTGATAGATGCCAATGAATAGAAATAAATGAATGCTTTTACACCCATAGAAAAAAGACTCTAAATCCTATCACTGTGGTAGGTTGTGGGTCAGAAACCTCCCTGGAGAAGCATATTTAAGATTTAGAAAAACAAAGCCAACTCATTTCACTGTGAGCCTGTGAATTATGATATGCTCCTTGAACAATGACAAAGCACATTTCCTTAAGCATATAAGCTAATAAAATTAAGCCCAGATTTACGAAAAACAGATTTAAAAAAAAAAGTCTTTGGATAAACTCTCCCAGATTAGAGAAAATTTTGTTTGCAAACAGCTTTTTTTTTTTTTAAACCTTCTTAAAGCAAACTGGAAGGTACAGGTAAGTAAAGAGTCAAAAGCATGATTAGTGAATGCCTTCTGTGGCTAGGAAACACTAGTAAATACTAAGGAAAGTACAAAGGAAGCAAACAATACAAATTCTGCCCTCAGAGATAGAAGAGATTTTGCTTATATGTGGAGTTTGCTCCTCAGCACTGGTTGAACGTTGAGTCCTGAAACCAAGGGAGTAGTCACATCTCAGCTCCTTATCATAAATAAGGAGGCCTCTTTGGCCCCATACTTAAGTGGAAAGCTTACATAAACCATGGATGCAACTCATTCCAAAGAAAGGAGCCATGGACTCTGTGACTTTCAGGTAAGCAGGTAGTTCGTTTAGCAGTCTGCTAGGACAGATGGGGTCCTATTCTGTTGTCACTGCCTGTCAGCTGTACCTATCATTTGGTATCCCTAAATTGGGCCACTTTTTTTTAGGAGACAGAAAAAGAGAGTGTGTGAATGTGGGCATGTGTGGGGGGAGGGGGGAGGGGGGAGTTGGGCAGAGGGAGAGACTCTTAAGCAGGCTCCACGCCCAGCACAGAGCCTGACACAGGGCTCCATCTCTCCTTCCTGAGGTCATGACCTGAGCCAAAATCAAGTCAGATGCTTAACTGCCTGAGCCACCCAGGCGCCCTGGACCCAACACATTCTGCCAAACCCTTGCATCGTAGACATTGATACTCTGAAACTGAGGCTCTCCTAGCTAGAGATCACAGTATAGTTAAAACTCTCCTCTTTCTCGAATCCTATGTCATGATGACTCAGTTCATACATTAACTTTTCTGAGATGATTCAGTTTTTTTTAACCCAAAAACCACCTAACATATTTGATTAAATAACATTATTAGTCAGTCCAGAGTGACTGGATCACATGAGCTGGCTCAAAAAGACAAACCTTGGTGAATATATAACTGAAGAAGAGGCCCATTGGTTTAGTTTCCTTTCCCTTCCTCAGTGTTAGGAAGTTAAGATAAAAAACCCTTTGGGAATAGTCACAGAGAGGCTACGTAGTCAGTGAGAACCTCCTGCTGGGGAGACTGAGCGAGTAGTTGCTCAATGTATGCTCCATGAATACATAGGTTATGGGTCCAAGGGAGATATGTGCTGGTAAAAAAAAAAAAAGAAGAAGAAGAATTGGTGCCATTTTTGTTGTTCAAAGCTTTTATTTTTTTCTGAATATTCATATTTATACTTGTGTCACCATCCACACTGTGGCTTTTTAAAGCCTGAGCCACTTATAATCTAGCCCCAGTATAATCATCATCCCTTCACTCTTAGAATTCCTTTTCCCTTGTCTCTTTGCCTTTGTAGGATTTCTATAAAAGGAGGACCTTGGAAAAATCGATACTTCCTGTGAACGAGAGAGACCATCTGAGCAGTTCCCCGAACAAACAGGATTAGGCAGGTAAAACCAGTTGGCGAGCAGATATATTATGATCTCTTAGACCAAGGTAGAGTTGTGTGCGTGTCTAAAATGTCATGCTGACTCACCAGTGGAAGAAGGATCATGTGGGTTGACCAGGGTGAGGTAGGACTGTGCACAAGATTGTGTGAACTGTGGTAGCGGACACAAAGTATATAACATTCATGGACTACACACTTTAGCTAACTACTTTGCTGAAAATGGTCTATGCTCTAAAAGACAAAGATCTAAGCTCTTTTAACATTTTCTTAAACTTCTGACAATTCAAGTCACTAGGTAAGTTAGTTCTTACGGTTTAAAATGAAAGCAAATGGCCATAGTGATGTGGAGAAGACAGCTGAACTGCACCAGTATACTTGAGTTTTTTAAATTAAATTCTGAGTTACCTCACCTTATAAAAATACATGTCAATATACTAAGTACTCCACAAAGACCCAGGATGGGGGAATATTTAAAAATACACTTCTCTTGGATCAGCACCAAAAATATCATTAGTTTTCTGTACAACCCGTTACAAGTTTTTAAGTGTGTTAAAATTATTTCTGATAAAAATTACAAAGTCCACATAGATCAGTAAAGATGTATCCAAACAACTTTCAAATATATTGACATCAAGGTTAGGCATGTCGCTTGCAAGGGCATTTGAATGTGTACCACTGGATTTTTCCCATAAAACTTCTGATGTCAACCTTGTATCATGGGGATATGTCCTGTCTCACACAAAGGAGGCACTGGTACTTGGAAACTCAAGAAAATTATTAGAACCGTTATGGCTGAGGTGAAGAATTTGTGCAGCCTTCCACAATTTCAAAGAGGTAGTGATAGATACTTGTCCTCCTGGCAATATCAAAGGCCGTTTCTTCCAAGTTGTTTTTCAGACCTGGTTTGATGTAGCGGTTCATCAGGAGGAGCTCCAGGGTATCTTTGCTGTCCCTGTTCCCGGCGGCGAGATGTAAGGGGGTCAAGAGGCCTTTTGTTTGGGCATTAATATCTGCATCGTGCTGGAGTAAGAAAGAAGCTACTCTGGTATTATTCCACTTACAAGCACTGTGCAGGGGTGTCCAGCCATCCACAGTCACTGCGTGGACATCTGCCCCTTGTGCGATCAGCTCGCGCACCACGTCTAAGTGTCCACTGTAGGCTGCTCGATGAAGAGGGGTATATTCATCTTCATCTCTAGCGTTCACGTGAGTGGCCTTTTCAGACAGCAGTCTCCGCACTGTGGTAAGCTGAGAAGAAAAGGGACCTTTTCAAAACCAATGTGACCCAAAACAGTAAATGAAGAAAATTAAACTGTCTAGTGGTGTTAAATTTTTTTTAAGTTCCATAAGAACTTGTTAGCAGAGGACTTTAAGATAAAAATGATTTAAGATTTCTTTGGGGGACAGATGGCCACAGATTTAAGAATGAACAAGTTAGTGTTAACCATACTCTTGCTTCCTAAGAATGTGACTCTCTGAAAATCATGAATTAGTATCGAATGTATGACTATCATGCACTTACTCCTGGCCCAATTAAGGCCCACTGCATATAAGCTTTAGTCCTAGATGAATAATACAGACTATAACTGTATTTAATATTTTATACTTCATTAGTGAAAACCTAATAACTGATTTTTCTACAGTAGGATTATTGCAACAATATACATAGTGCATAAAACTTTGAAAAATAAATTTCTTTATCAGAAGAATACAACGGTAACAAGGAAATCTAGAGATTAAGGAGCTCAACTCCTTCAAACTAAAACAACCTTAGAAACATGTTTTCAGGAAGTGATTTTCAGTTTGGTCTCTGGATCTCTGGTGGGATGCAGTGTTCTCCTGGGTGAAAAAGTTATCCAAAAAATATAGGACCTTTTTGGTTAATTTACTACCACCGGCATGGAAGAACTTAGTAAAATGAAGTAGAAGTGGCTGAGTGGGAAAAATATATTTGATGATACTGCTTACATGATACTGGGCAAATTGATATTCCTGAATCCCATTTTCTTAAACTGTAAAAGGGAAGAATATTACTTATCTTGTGGGGATATATGAGGATTAAATTAAATAATGTAGTAAAGCACATGGTATAGTTTATATTCAAAACATGTTAATTCCTATCCTCCCTCTTCTAAATGATAGTTGTCTCTAGGATGATCTTAATGACTTAATAGAAATGATTTAAAAATATAGGTGATTTCTTGCTAACTTTATAATTATCCCTTAAATTTCCAAATAATACCCAGTAGGATGCTTTGTGACTTACTATGTCCTTTCATGGACATTGCCTCATTCGATCCTCAAATCCTGTATAAAAGATACAGGTATTATCATGGCCATTTTTATAGGTAAGAAAATAGAGGTTCAGGAACAGTAGGATTTACCCAAAGTTACAAACCAAATAGAGGTTCAGGGACAGGTCTTCTGGCTCTGAATCCAGTACTTTTCCTACTATATTATGGTTTCCTCTTTAACTGTTTTGTTTGTTTTTTTACCCGATTTTTTTCCGCAGCCCAAAGAAGCAATTTGCTTGGATCTTTTTCCATCTTTTTTTCTTGCAATTGATACCACTCTTCAGTTTTTTCATCTTGCTCCTCGTCTTCGTCAGAATTCCCTACCCAGAGACTTTGGGTACCAGTGGGAATAAGGTGTCCATGTGTTTCCAACAATTCAAGTTGGTTAAAGTGTTCAGAAAAGTCCAAGGAATTTTCTGGGTCTGGTTTTCCATCATCATTTACTTTCCCTTTTTCCATTTTTACTATGACACTAAATACAAAACATTTCAAATGCCAGGGTATAAATAGTATTTCTAGACGTGAATTATATCTGCTTTATTTTATCCATCAAGATCTGGAAACACAAACACAAAAATTATTAGCAAAACACTAATTGTTTATCAATTACAAAGTCTTCCAAACATGCACAATAAACCCTGTCTAAACTTTTTGGTTTTATTGGTAGTCTTTACATTCTCTAAATACCGGAGCTGAAATTTGTTATCTATACCTTTAATGGTTAAAACTCCTTATTTTTTTTTCTTCTACTAAGTCAATGGTTATATTATTCTGAATCTATTGGTTTTGATACTATTGTATTATACTAAGAGTGATAAATGCTTAAAGCTTTTAAACCATAATTTAAAAAACAGGCACATTCATGATTTTTATAAACTAGACACACAGATGATGTAAAGCAGAAACAAAAACTTTTAGTTTCTAATAAATTACTTCAAAGAATTAGGCATTCTTAGAGACGGAATAGCCCCAAGGAATCTGTACAAATCTCTCATCAATCCAAGTATCTTTATTATAACATCTGTAATAATTATCCTATTTCTACTTTAATAATTTCAGTTTGGGAAAATTCACTGCTTTAAAAAGGAGTCCCATTCATTGATAGACAACTATAGTTCTTAGTTGGCTTTTTGTTCTGAACTGAATTTCAGCTGTCATTCACCATTCAACAAATATGAATAGAATGCCTGGTCCGTGCCAGTCTTTGGGTACTGGGATTCAATAATGAACAAGGTCCATGTCTTAACCTCAGGAAGGTTATTGTCTAGTGGAGGTGACTGGCAACAACAGCATGAACTGTGCCATGGCAGGATTCTGTCCAGACACAATGAGTATACAAGAGGGTTATAATGAACACAGTCCTAAAGGATTAGAGAAGGCTTCTTGAAGGAAGTGACATTAATTCAGCTAAGCTGACACATTAATTTATAAACCAGTATTAAAGAGTTACACAGCTTATTAAATCTTAACCAATTTTTAAAAATGCAAATAATAAATATCTTTTAAAAATACCATTTCTCAGGCTCCTGATTACATTTGTTGAAATCCTACCAGTCTTTCAAGGCTCTTCTCAGATGTTTTCTCTGCCGTTGAGTCCTTCTTGAACTTCCAAATTAGATTTCTCTCTGGTAGCCTTTTTTGTTCTACCTATTGTCTTATTTCAGCACTAATTATTTCCTTAGAAGATTATAAGCTTAAGGATAGAGACTGTATTTAACTTATATTTATGTTGTACTTATACAGAGGGCATTAATATTTGTAGAATTAAATCTAATTAAAGCCCTATCACTTGATTTTGTTTGGAATGGTTCCTGAGAAGTTCCAGAGTTGGTCTTCCCTTAAGATACTAATTTTCTAATTTCACAAGTTTAACAGTATTCAATCCTAATGTGGCATTAGATTTTACTAGTGCCAAAAGTACTAACCTTAGGTTTAAATTTATCACTTACGACTAATAGCGTCTCTGGGCCTGTTACTTCATTGTAAAATGTAATGACTGTACTAAAGGATTTCCAAGTTCTTCCCAGCTTTTCAGAGTCTATTGAGACCCATCAGAATTACTTTATGTTTTATTAGTTCTTCTGGAATTTTCACTTTTTATTATTGAAGAATTGTTGATATACAGTGTTAGTTTCAGGTGTACAAACACAATGATTCGACAATTCTATACATTACTCAATGCTCATCACAGTATACTGTATTACAGACTACACTTACTGTATTGTTGACTATATTCTCTATGCTGTGCTTTTCATCTCTGTGACTTATTTATTTTATAACTAGAAGCTTGTACCTCCTCAAACCTTTCACCCATTTTGTCTATCTCCTCACCCCTCTCCCCTCTGGTAACCACCAGTTTGTTCTCTGTATTTGTGATCTGTATGTAGGAACTCCCATTGGGGTTCTCATTTTTTTACTATCAAACTATTTCCTGAACCTTGCAACACAAAAATGATCATACATCAGTTCATTAAACACTGTGAACAGATACCATAAAGTTCATTTAATTATATCAAATACAGAAACAATAAGGCACATATTTTATCCTCCTTTCCTTTCTATAAAAACTCCCCCCACTTTTTAAAATAAATTCTGAACTTAGTGCTCCAGATACAGTAACTCACATATAAAATTTCTTTTCTAATTTTAGATGATTTAATTTAAAGAGTGAAGCCTAGGTGCATCTCCCTGATTCAGGATTTTAAAAAATCGATTAAGATTCTTACTCGATGATCCTCAACCAAGAAGAAATAGGGTATGTTTAAAAGAACACATTTCGACAGAGATCTAAACTATGTCAACGCCTCACAAATAACTCGGTGACAGATGCGGTCATAAACCCCTTTTTACCGGTGAAGGCGCCGAACTTCGGAATAAAACAACCTGCCCTAGATTAGGGACGCTTCAATGGAACTAAAAGGTCAAGTTTTCTAATTCAAAAGTTTCACATTATTTTTTTACTGTACTGTATTTTACTGCTATCAGCACAAAGCAATACAGATGTGCTGAACCCGGGATCCAGGGGTGAAAATAAGGGGAAGCAGGGAATAAAAGGGTCCGAATACTCTAACTCTGGGGAGTGGGAGTGAGGGAGAAGGCCCCCAGTCCCGGCCCTCTGGCACCGATTGGTCACTTCCCAGGCCCGGAGTCGCGCCTGCGGCCTTCCAAACAGCCAAGAGCGGGGAAGCCGCTCCAGCCCTACCCTGGACCCACGACGCGGCCCGAACTGCAGGGCTCATTCGGGGTCGACAAGTGACCCGCCCCCAAGGGCCCAGCCGTTTTTAGGTGGCGCGAGAGGATCAAGGACCGCGGTCCGGGACAAGTAAGAGCTACCCACCTTAAAGAAGGGAAACATCGCCGTCGCGAACCTCGCTTCCGGGGTCGTCCCTCGGCTTCTGAGGATTGGCTCCTGCTTGAGGGCGTGGCGTCGCCGCTACTTCCCCGGCTCGCTCACGGCATTCGGCAGCCAATGAGAGCCGAAGAAGACTTGAAGCGCTACGTCATCAGAGGTATCGCGAGAGAAAGAGTTGCTTTTTTTTTTTTTTTTTCCCCTCTCCCGCCTAATTCAGGTTTATGGCCCAGCAGGTTCTTTTTAACGTGCAGGCTCACGAGGTGCTGTTGTTTTTTTTCTCACGAATCCCGCTCCTTCTTCCCCGGTAAAAGACAGCCTGGGGGTCCGGTGCGGGGGCTTTGGATAGTGTAGGTGTGGGGAAATTTAGGAATCGTACCGCCTCCTATTTTATGGGATCCCGGGCGGAAGCCTAAGTGGATTGACTCTCTGGAAAGAATGGGACCGGTCGGCTAAGCCTTGGAGGGTTCTGATTCTGGCTTCAGACAGTCCAGTTGGGGGTGGGGGTGGTGTGTTGAGGCTTAGAATCTGGAAGGAACCAGGAGTCCGGGCGTGGAGGGGTTCCCGGAATATCTCGGCCTTTTCCACTTGCCTTGCGCGCGCAGGGCGTTTCTCCGCGGAGCACGTGTTTGTTTATTTACACTAGTTTTAAAGGTTGGGTCCTTCTCTTTTCCTAAATTGGACCATTGCTTTAAACGGTCCTGTGGTTGAGCAGGAATTACGGGATTTTCTCAACGCTCCAGGGTAGCTTGTGCAGGCTGTTTAAAACATTTCTGCACGTCCAGAGTTGTTTGTGTGCTAAACCAGAACTGCTGTATGTGCCCCTTTCTGTCCATTTATCTAATAAACATTAGTTTCCAATAGTTTAATCGTAATGGTGAAATGGTACTGGAGATGTGCTATTTTCTATTGTTAGCCCTTAAAAAATAAAAATATAGTACGTGCGTAGATGAAAATGAGATTCCTAAAATTGGTAGTTTTTTAAAAGAATGTATGTTTTACAATAATGTAATTTTGCTTTTAGAATTTGCTAGAATTTGGAATCGAGTGAGTTTTCTAACGTATTTGATAACACGACCCAGGAGTACTTGGAGAGAAAACTGGTTCCAGAGGAGCTGGACTGACCATAAAAATGAGTCCTGCGGATGCCCTGTAAGAACTTGTCTTCCGGGATCTTTTTTGTTGCTTTAGATTCCTAAAGCCCATCAACTATGATCACCATGAACGAAAACTTATTTAAAAAATTAGCAGTAAATAGCTTGCCTATGAACAGAAATGTTAGTCATCAAAAAATATTTAGAATGTTAAAAAATTAATATGTGTTTGCTAACTAAAAGATAATACATAGCTATAGATTGAGGCCTTGCAGTAATTTGGTATATTAGTGTAGTATATAAGTTTATATTCTTAGGTTTTGTCTTAAAATATTAGCGCTATCAATATTCTTGAACTTTTGTGGGGAAGTCACACTGGTCAAGGCAAGCCTGTTTAAGCAGATTTCTAGAGTAGTAAATTGCTCTAGCATTGAATAAATTGGAAATGAATTTGAGTAAAATGAAAATCAATAAAAGAATCAGAAGTTATGTGGAAAAAGGTTTAGACTTGGAGTGTTTCACCCCGATTTCAATTCCTTGGTTAATACTGTGTGACCCTGGGTAAGTTAGCAATTCTCTGAACCTTGCATCAATTTCTTCACTTTATGTATATAATTGGAACAAAATTGCCTTTCTCAGATTAATTTAGATGTTTAAATGAGAGAATTCATTTGAAAATATTTTATAAATTGCTATGGTTGCATAGGGTAATGTGATTTTGAAAGTATTCTGATCAGCCTGTGTGTGTGTAGCAGTTAGAACTGTGTGCATGTATTTCATCTTTGAAGTTTCTAAAGAGAAGTCTTTTCTGGAAAAATCTCATATATAAAGATTTCAATTTTGGAGATATATCTGAAAGTTGTTTTAAGTTCATTATGGTTTAGTGAAAATAGACTGAGTGGTTAAATCCTGTTTCTTCCACTTATTTGTGTGATAAATTATTTAATTTCTCTGTTTAGTTTTCTCATTTTTCAGAGATAGAAATACCTATTTCTTTACATGTGGAAGTTGAGAAGAGATCATAGATACTTGAGTATTTTAAAGAAAGGTTTTTTAAAATTTTTTTAAGGATTTTATTTACTTATTTGAGAAAGAGAGCTCGAGTGGGAGGGAGGGGCAGAGGGAGAGGGAGAAGCAGGCTCCTCACTGAGCAGGGATCCCGGAGATACATTCCTGACCTGAGCCGAAGGCAGGCACTTAACCAACTGAGCTACCCAGGTGCCCCAAGTATTTTAAAGAAAGTTAAAAGTTACATTAAACTGAAGAAGGTATTAATAACTACTACATTGCTGCTTCACATGAGAGTACCTTTGGATACTACCAAATTCAAATGGAATTGTAACTCTGTTTTGTTACTTGGCCAGATTTGTTAATGAAACACTAGCTTTATGTAGGGAATAGAATCAAGCAGGTGTCTTTAGGGGCTTGAATGTAAGTTACTAGTTTTTTGGGACAAAATCTACTTACAAAGTAAGAAGGGCTTTTTAAATTAAGTCAACTCTGATTTTCCTTGAAGAGTGCAAAATAGATAAATAGCAAGTTTAAATATGGGGTCAAATCCTCTTGGGATTTCAGGATAGAACAGAATTTGAAAACAACGAAGCTTTTAGGTCCAGGGTCCAAAGGAGTGTGTAACACTGGAGTTGTAATAAGGTTATACTTCTTTGAAAGGAGTCACAATCTTTTTAAAGTTCACGTGTGTTTGTTCTGTTTTGAAATAGGTGTAGGCAAACTATGTAACATTGAAGATCTGTTGAATGCTTCAAATTTTCAGACCTATTTTAAAAGCTAGAAAAGTGATTTTACTGTATAACTACTATTATATATCTTCTAAACTTAGGTTTTAATCTTCTTGAGCATCTTTTAATGAATTATATTGAAATGTTTCTTCTTTTTTTATATAGTGATGATGAAAATACATTTAAAATCTTAGTTGCAACAGATATTCATCTGGGATTTATGGAGAAAGATGCAGTCAGAGGAAATGATACATTTGTAACACTGGATGAAATTTTAAGACTTGCCCAGGAAAAGGAAGTGAGTTTGGTTTACATTTTTTCAGTTTCTCCTATGCTCCCTTAGTAGACTCTTTTCCTTTCTTAAAGTTGGAGGTTTGTTTTATAGGCTCATGTGCTCACATTGCCTGCTTAAATATCAATATACTACAAACCCAAAGCAGATTTTAAGTGTTTTGTGACCTTAATTCAAGTAGGAGTTGGTTTTGTTAGAAGTTTGTGAAAGTTTACACATATTTATGGGGTGTTTACTGAGTGCAGGATCCTGTGGCAGTTTCTGTTTGAAATGGAAAGATGACTCATCGTTTCTGTTTGCCAAGAACATACAGGATACTGGTATGTGAGGTAAGACAAATGTCCATAATGCTCAGATGGCAAGGTCTTGTGTGGTAAGAACCGTAAGAAAATTACAATCAGCTTTTCTGGGAGTTTAGAAGTAGAAGAGATCACATACAGAGGTTAGCAAGATCAGTTTAATGAACGAGGTGGCATTTAACTTGGGCTTTGAAGAATGAGTAGGCTTTTGATGGGTGAAGAGCATAGAGAATGTGCATTTCACAGGAAGCAGGAAGAAGGGCACAGAGGTGAGACAGTATGAGGTATGTTAGGGGTACAACAGGTCAGTTTGGCTCATTAGTAGGCCATATGTTAGAAAGCGTGCTGAAAGACCAGAAAGACTGTTTGAGCTGCGTTAGGAGGGCTTCAAATGCCAGATTGAGGAGTTTGTACCCAATTCAATGGAAAATCTTTTGGCAACAGGGTATAGGGTGAATTGGAGGCTGTGGCGTGGGATGGAAAAGAGGAAGTGAATGCAAGAGGTATTTCAAAGATTAGATTTGCATACTTCAGGGGTGAAGTTGAGGGAAAGGGAGAGGACAATGTCTAGAGTGTGTTAAGTTTGGGAGGGAAAGGGAGAGGACAAAGTCTAAAGTATGTTAAGTTTGGGTGAATGGTGGTAACAATAATAGAAATACCTTCTAAATAAGGAAGAGGTACTTCTTTATGTGGGAAGGTGATGAATTCTGATTTAGACCATTTGAGTTGGAGATTCCAATAGGGCATTCAGGTCAGCGTTCCAGCAAGCCCTTGAAATGTCCTGGACATTTTAGGAGAGAGCTGGGGAGTGAACATAAATGCTTGTGACTTACAAATTAGTATCTTCAACCTTGACTTTTCCTCAGAGTTTTGTTCAGTTTTTCTGCAGGTCCTTTGGTTCTTCCTCCTGAATGTATATGGAAAGTGTTTTTGTGCCTATGTGTTTAGCCTAAAACATTTATCCTATTTTGCTGGACTGCATTGGCTCCCCATTGGTCTTTCTATTTGCATTCTTTTTCCCTACATCTATTCAGCATAGCAGCCAAGTGAACATAAAACAGATCCTATCACTCTGCTGCTTAAAATCTTCAAGTGGCCTTCCATTGACTAAAATAAAATTCAAACTACAAGGCTCAACTTGATCTGGCCCCTGCCAAGAGACTTTTACAACTCTCTGCATCCTTCAGTATGCTCCATCCACCCTAGAATGTTCTACTCTGGGACTGCTGCACGTCTGGGGAGCATGTTTTACCTTTTTGGAGAGGTCTTCCTGGATATCTCCAAACACTTCAATTACTCTATTTTTTTCATAACACCGTCTGAAATAATATATTGAATTGGCTACTTGTTTACTATTGATCGTCTCCACTAGAAGGTCAACTCCCATGAGAGTGAAAAATCTTTTCTGCTTGTTCATGTTGTATCTTAAAATCTAGGAAGGATCTAGCAAGCAGTAGGTAACTCTTAAAATTTTGTTAATGAATAGGGGAATATCTAGTACTAGCTCCTTTTAAGATGGGTTCCTCTTATCCCTGAGAGCAGAGAAACTTGTGAGCCGAAGGAGGTCTCTTTCCTGCTAGAGAATGTTCAGTTGGATTTGTCTGATATTTCCTCATGATTAGATTCACTTTTGACAGGAATACCACAGAAGCAAGTTGTGCCCTTTTCAGCCTTCCCTGGAGTCACAAACCAGCTTTTAAAAATGAAAAAAAAATTTTTTAATTTGTGGTAAAATACACATAACAAAATTTACCATCTTAACCATTTTTAAGTGTACACTTTTTCAGCATTAAGCCCATTCCCATTGCTGTGTAACCAACCTCCAGAACTCTTCATCTTGCAAAAGTGAAACTATATCGTTTAGATCACTACTCCCCCTCGAAATGTTTGTTTTGTTTTCTTTGTTGTTTTTTTCCCATGCTGTTGTGATCCTTTTCTTCCTTAACTCTTGTTCATTTTTGAAGACATAGCTTTAGTCCCACACTTTTATTGAAGCTTCTCTGACTACTGTAGGATGGAAAACTTTTAGGTTCTTGGGCTGGTCTAATAATTAAATCGACATAAGACACATGAACAGGAGCAAAACAAATTTTGTATGTACAGGAGCCTCATAAAAATATTAGACTCCCTGACATGTAATTGAGGCTTATATTGCCATCCTGAGCTGAGGAGAGGGGGTAGAGGTCTGGGGCTTCAAAGGGGAGGAAGATAATTCATAGGAAGATGGGAAGAGCAAATGTTTGCCATGCCATGTAGAGATAAAAAGTTATCTCTGGTAATAGCTCTCTTCCTGGTATAGGCCCCCTGTCTAAATTCTTTTAGGCAGTTAAGGGGGATAAAACAAACAAAAAAAAGCTTTTCCTGAGTCTGCCCAGTCTTAACTGCCTTTAGCTCAAAACAATCCACGTGCCAAAGTGACACTTTGGGGAGTGCTGTATTCCGCTCCCCCTCACTGCTGTAGGCCAGGTGATCTGTACTGCTGGGTTCTTTTGTATAATTAAGAATTTAATCAAGTTTCTTTAGGTAGATTATACACTTCCTGAAAGTGTCAGTGTTGAACTCTTTTTCTATATAATTTCTTCTCTCTTGTTTCTAGAATGCTCTTCCTTAAAGTCTCATTTATTCTTCATAGTACAACTCAGACGCCACCGTGTTGGCATATCCCTTCTGGATTCCCTGTCCTCAGATGAGTTTTTTCCCTTCAGTTAGAATTGATTGTAAAAAAAAAAAAAAAAAAAAAAGAATTGATTGTGATGTCATTGCTGCTCCTGGTTTGTTTACATACCCATTCTCGTGCATGTCTGAGTTTGAGTTCTGTTCAGATGTATAACACTTTAACTCTTCTATTAGACTCTGAACATATTTAGGAAAGAGGTTGTATTTTATCCATCATTTGTATCCTCAGGGCCCAGTACAGGGAATTGCACTTTGTGAGTGTTTAATGAGAGCATGGACATCATCTGTTTTGTAGATTGCTATTTCCTTAGGTGCCAGTGCCTGTAGGAGCCCTAAATAATTGTTGAATGAATTGAATGAGTAATCTGAATTGAATTGGCTCTCTTGTCCATAGGTGCTGTTAAAGTGCTAAATTTGTGTTTGATTTAGATAACAACAAAAAAAGAAATAATGGTCACTTCCAGTAGAATGAGTCAGAGGTTTGGTATAATAATTTGAAGGTGGCTTTTTTGAAAGGTGGCCTAAGAACTTGAGTTGGAGTCAGATTAATCAACAGACTGGCAGGCCCCTTGAATAAATAAAATATAAAACTTTAAATCTTCATACACAGTAATATCTTTTATGAGTTTTTTTTCTACCCCTTTAATCTATAGGTTTAACGTTCTTACCCATAAAACATACTAATTTTCACACTGTTTTCTGTTGATTAGGTGGATTTTATTTTGTTAGGTGGTGATCTTTTTCATGAAAATAAGCCCTCAAGAAAAACATTACATACCTGCCTTGAGTTATTAAGAAAATACTGCATGGGTGATCGTCCTGTACAGTTTGAAATTCTCAGCGATCAGTCAGTCAACTTTGGTTTTAGTAAGTAAGTATATTTAAATGCTTAAGTGAACGTTTCCTTGTGTATAATATTTTCTGTAAAAGACAAACACCTTTTAACAGCCATTTCACCTGCGCTAAAAGCTATTTTCATAGTAAGCATAATTCTTTGAATTTTCTGTACATCGTGTTAGTTTATATTTTCCAAATTGTAGGACTGAGTATCTTCTCAAATTTTTATTGTACATTTTGGTATCTTCTCCTGTTCATATCCTTTGCCTATTTAAAAAATTAGGATTCTTTTCTTTTCCTGTTGAATTTGCAGAGGTTGTTTATATATTCTAGAGACTAAACTTTTTTTTAAGATTTTATTTATTTATTTGACAGAGAGAGACACAGCAGGAACACAAGCAATGGGGAGTGGGAGAGGGAGAAGCAGGCTTCCCGCAGAGCAGGGAGCCCGATGTGGGGCTCAATCCCAGGACCCTGGGATCATGACCTGAGCTGAAGGCAGACGTTTAACGACTGAGCCACCCAGGTGTCGGAGACTAAATGTTTGTTAAGCATGTATTTCTTTTTTCTAGTCAGTGGATTGTCTTTTGACTTTTTTATGGAGACTTTTCTTGACAAATACTTAATTTTAGTCAGATATATCATTTTTTTCTCCTTAAGATTTGTACTTTGGGGACTGACTGACGATATCCACCTAGAACCCCATGTCGTAAAGATAGTCCAATGTTTTTTCTTAAACAGTGTACAGGATACCACACTGCATGTAGTTGAAGTGTTCTCTCAGTCTCCTTTTATACTATGCCAGTTTTTCTGTGTTTTCTTACCTTTCATTTTCCTGATAATTTTTTGAGGTATACTGGTCAGCTATTTTATAGACTGTCCCTCAATTTGGGTTTTTCTCATGATTAGACCAGGATTGTGGGTTTTCAGGAAAAAATATTCCACAGAGGTGAAGTGCCCTTCTCATTGCATATCGGGAGTACATGCTGTCAACGTGGCTTATTACTGGTGAGGATAACCTTGATCTCTTGATTAAGGTGGTGTCTGCCAGGGTTCTCTGCTGTCAGGTTACAATTTTTCCCTTTCCATACGCTGTTCATTAGAAGTGAGTTGCTAAGTGCAGCCCACACTCAAAGAGAGGGATTTAAGTTCTACTTCCTAGAGAGAGGAAGGAGTGTCACAGGATATGGGCGTATTGAAACTACCGTAGTCATTAGTAAGTATTTTGAGGGAGCTATTTTGAGGCTGTACACCTGTTCTGTATTTCCTTAAAGTTTGTCCACTAATTTTAACATTCATCAGTGGTTCTTTTTATTTATTTATTTATTTATTTATTTATTTATTTATTTATTTATTTGAGAGAGAATGAGAGAGAGAGACCATGAGAGGGGGGAGGGTCAGAGGGGGAAGCAGACTCCCCGCTGAGCAGGGAGTCCGATGTGGGACTTGATCCCGGGACTCCGGGATCATGACCTGAGCCGAAGGCAGTCGCTGAACCAACTGAGCCACCCAGGCGCCCTCATCAGTGGTTCTTGCCTATAGCAGTTATTAACTGTGGTGTTTTAATGGTAATTTTCTGTTTCCCACATTTTTGCTATATTTATTAATTAGAATTCTTCTGTAAGGAAGATCTGTCCCTTTTTCCGCATTTGTTAATTTATTTACTCAGTTGTCTATCAGTAGGAACTTATTTAGTTGTTTACATCAGTATGAACCCATTTTTTCCTTTGGATTATAATTTAATACTATTGTAATCTTATTTTGTTGCTCAAATGATTTGTTCTAGGTTTAGCCATTGGGTGCCTTTTCAGATTGATTTCTATCTGCTTTTGATATACCCTCATCTTTCCCCCACTCCCTCTTACTTTTTGGCACTAGAAGATGCTCCAGGCTAATTTTTTATTTTCCCTTTCATAGCTTTAGACCCATCCATTTCTTCAAGGAGCCCTGATTCCTTTGGAGAATGGTATTTGAAAGCCCAAATCTAGATGCTGGGCTTGCACATTGCTATTATCTTGCCACTGCTTCTAGGCTCTCTCAGTGCCTAGAGCTAAGAAATACATGTATATGTACTAACCCATGAAAACAGACCTATCTATTTCTTAAAATAAGTTCATGTTGGGAGGTAAATTTTTAAGGGATTTTTGTTTGTAAGAAAACGGCTATATTTACCTTTACTCTGGATTGATACTTTTGCTGCATATAGAATTGGATTTTAAAAGATTCCTGTAATTTTTAACATACAGCCTTGTTTTTAGGAATTCTGATCAGTATCTTTACCTGTATTCTATTCAGATCTAGAACTTTAGTATTTTCTTCTTTCTTTCATCTTATTTTTTTTTTTAAATTTTATTTATTTATTTGACAGAGAGAGACACAGCGAGAGAGGGAACACAAGCAGGGGGAGTGGGAGAGGGAGAAGCAGGCTCTCTGATGCGGGGCTCAATCCCAGGTCCCTGGGATCATGACCTGAGCCGAAGGCAGACGCTTAACAACTGAGCCACCCAGGTGCCGCTCTTTCATCTTATTTTTAAACTGCATGCTATGGGTGCCTGGGTGGCTCAGTTGGTTGAGCGACTGCCTTCGGCTCAGGTCATGATCCTGGAGTCCCGGGATCGAGTCCCTCTGACCTTCCTCCCTCTCATGCTCTCTCTCTACCATTCTCTCTCTCTCTCAATAAATAAATAAAAATCTTAACAATAAAAATAAACTGCATGCTATTTTTAAACTGCTCCACCCGCCTTTGCAAACCTGTTTACCTATTTCTTTGCTCACTGTTGTTGCTTCTTGTATTTCATTTTTTCCTCTGAATTCCGTTTCCTTCTTTCTGAAGTACAATTTTCAGTAGTTATTTCATTGAATGTCAGTGAGTAGTAAACTCTCATTTTTTGTTGCTGTTGGGAAGTCTGCTATTACTTTAGTTGCTGGAAGAGCAGTATAACATAGTGATTAAAAGCATGGATTCTGGTACAAGACCATCTGATTTCGAGTCCTGGCTTTGCTCTACCTTACTTTTATAATATAAAATGGGAAAACAATAGTGGTGATCTTACAGAATTGTGAGAAGTAGTTGAATTAATAAGAAAATTGCTTAGACTAGTAACTGGCAAAAAGAAAACACTGAGGTGTAACTATTAAGTTTTCTCATTGTCCTTAACATTTAGCAGTCTTACTATGACATTTAGCTGTGGATTTAGTTCTAATTGTTCTGCTTGGCTATCATGCATTTCAATTTTTTTTCCAGCAATTTTAGGAAATTCTTATCCATTACATTTTCAAACATTGTTTCCTATTCTTTCTCTTTTTGAATATTATTTATATGTCTTAATCTTTTTGTTACATTATCCATTACTTTATCTCTTTGTGCTGTATTCTGAATAATTCCCCCTTCTAGTTTACTAGTTCATATGGAAAAATAGACAAGAGAAAAGATAGAGAAACTGAAAGAAAAGACTGATAAGTAATGACCAGCCCCATTAGATATGAAAGTGTATTATACCACATTGAGAAGAGGAAGGATGAAAATTATACAGTCATCTCAGTAGATGCAGAAAAAGCATTTGACAAAATTCAACATCCTTTTATGATAAAAACTCCCCCAACAAAGTGGGCATAGAGGGAACATACAAAAGCCAAATATGACAAGCCCACAGCTAACATACCCAGTGGTGAAAAGCTGAAAGCTTTTCTTCTAAGATGGGGAGCAAGACAAGATTCCCACTCTCACCCCTCCTGTTCAGTATCATATTAGAAGTCTTAGCCTGAGTGGTTAGGCAAGAAAAAGAAATAAAAGGCATCCAAATCAGAAAGGAAGAAGTAAAATCATCTCTATTTGCAGATGACAATATTATATATAGAAAACCTGAAAGACTGGAACTGGAGGGTGTTATGCTGAGTGAAATAAGTCAGTCAGAGAAAGACATGTATCATATGACCTCACTGATATGAGGAATTCTTAATCTCAGGAAACAAACTGAGGGTTGCTGGAGTAGTGGGGGGTGGGAGGGATTGGGTGGCTGGGTGATAGACATCGGGGAGGGTATGTGCTATGGTGAGCACTGTGAATTGTACAAGCCTGATGAATCACGGATCTGTACTTCTGAATCAAATAATGCAATATATGTTAAGAAAAAAAAGAAGAAGAAGATAGCAGGAGGGGAAGAATGAAGGGGAGTAAGTCGGAGGGGGAGACGAACCATTAGCGACGATGGACTCTGAAAAACAAACTGAGGGTTCTAGAGGGGAAGGGGGTGGGGGGATGGGTTAGCCTGGTGGTGGGTATTAAAGAGGGCACATTCTGCGTGGAGCACAGAAATAAAATGCAAATCAAAACCACAATGAGATACCACCTCACACCTGTTAGAATGGCTAAAATCAAAAAGATAAGAGAGAACCAATGTTGAGGAGAATGTGGAGAAAAGGGAACCCTTGTGCACTGTTGGTGGGAATGTAAATTGACTAAGCCACAATGGAAAGCAGTATAGTGGATCCTCAAAAAATTAAAAATAGAACTATACTGTATGATCAAACAGTCCTCTTCTGGATATGTATCCAAAAGAAATGCAGACAGGATCTTGAAGAGGTAATCTGCATTTCTGTGTTCATTGTGGCATTAGTTCACAGTAGCGAAGATATGGAAACAACCTAAGGGCCTGTCAATGGATGAAGGGATAAAGATGGATTAAGATGATGTGGCATGTATATATGAACATGAAATATTATTCATGTATGAGAAAGATGGACATCTTGCCATTTGTAACATGGATGGACCTTGAGGGCATTACGCTGTGAAATAAGTCAGACAAAGAAAAGTACCGTGTAACATCACTTAATGTATGGAATCTAACAAAGCTGAACTCAGAAACAGACTAGAATGGTCAACGAGGCCAGGACTTGAGGGAAAAGGGGAGATGTTGATCAAAGAGTATAAACTTTCAGTTACAAGATGAGTATGTTCCGAGAATCTAATGTACAACATAGTGATTGTAGTTGATAATATTTTATTTTATACTTGAAAGTTGCTAAGAGTAGATTTCAAATATTCTTGTCACAAAAAGGAAACGGTAATTTTGTGACATGATTCAAGTGTTAGCTGTAGTGGTGATTTTGCAGTATATGTGTTTTAAATAACATTGTATACCTTAAAGTTACACGTTGTTCTATGTCAATTATTTCATGATAAAACTGGAAAAAATACAATGCTACAGTAATTAAAAATGTGATATGATGCATGACTTGATAGGCAGATAAATGAAAGAGTATAGAGCTTCCAGAAATAGCCTCAATACATGTAGGAATTTAGTGTTTGGAGAAGGTGGTGTTTCATATCTCCAGGAGAAACATGGATTATTCAGTAAATGTATTAGAAGAAACTATTAGACATTTTTTAAAAATTTAGATGTGGGAAAGGCTTTTCTGTGTATGATACAAACTGAGAAGCCATAAAAGTAATACTGATGTTTGTCTTTGTAAAAGTAAATTTGTGCATGGCAAAAACTGCCTGAAACAAAATGAAAAGTCAAGAGTTCAACTAGGAAGAATATTTGCAACTCATTGCAAATTAAAGTCTAATTTCCCCAATAGATAAATAGCTGTTTCAAATCAATTTTAAAAATCCAAGAGTTAATAAAAACGTAGGTAAAGAATATGGATATAGTTCACAGAAAAAGTGGCATTTAAATATAAGAATATGAAAAATACAAATAGAATTCATTCATAAGAAAGATACACACTTAAGCTCTACTGAGATATTTTTCTCCTGTCAGATTGGCATAGATCCGTGATTTTCAATTCTGGGTGCACATTGTAGTTACCTAGAAATATTAAAAAAGATACTGATAACAGTCTCCAGGTCAAATACTCTCTTGAGTGTGTCATCGGCATTGTTATTTCTTAAAAGAGGTCTAGATGGGGCGCCTGGGTGGCTCAGTTGGTTAAGCGACTGCCTTCGGCTCAGGTCATGATCCTGGAGTCCCGGGATCGAGTCCCACATCGGGCTCCCTGCTCAGCGGGGAGTCTGCTTCTCCCTCTGACCCTCTTCCCTCTCGTGCTCTCTATCTCTCATTCTCTCTCTCAAATAAATAAATAAAATCTTTAAAAAAAAAAAAAGATTCCTAGATGATTCTAACATGCCGCTAGGGTTTAGAACCACGGACATAAATTTAAAAGCTTGGTGGCTTACTATGTTGATAGAATAAAGGGAAAAAGTTGTCTCTCATGCATTGCTGTTATATTATGTGTAAATCTGTCCAACTTCTATGGAGGGAAATTGGCAGTATTTTCAAATTTACAAATGCATGCTTATCCTTTGACCTAATTCCCTTCTAGATATTTTCTTATACTTGCACAAGGGCAACTTTGTACAAGATTACCCACTGTAGCGTTATTTGTAAAGCAAAAAAACTAGAAATATTCTAAATGTCCATGGGTTAGGTAACTACTTAAACACATTATAATAGCCCATTCAATTGAAGAACTGTCCGGCCAAAGAAAGCACAAGGAAGCTCTTTATGTGCTGATATAGAATGGTTTCTAAAACATGAAATAAAAAGCAGGGTACAGAAATCTGTATTGTGCTACCATTTGTGTAAGAAGGAAGGAGATGCATTTATTTGCTAGTGAAGGTATAGGACATTATTGCAGAGATACACTAGAAGTTGCTAAATTGCATTTGCCTCTGAGAAGAGGCGCAGAAGTGACTAGGGGCAGAAGTGGGTGGGAGACTTGTAAATTGCACAAGTATTAAGTGATAGAGCTGGAATTTTGAATCTTGGATTCCAAAGCGGATGTGTTTCCTTCCCTCCTTCTACAAGTAACTATGTACAAAGGCTTTCAAAATTCTTAAGGCCTCTTTATTTCCATTAGTCAGGTATAACTCTCTTTCATACAATTCACAAATACCGTATATTGCAGTGTTTTCTTTAAAGTGTGGTACTTTGAGATACTTCAGGCTTGAATTGAAATGAATTGTTGCCGGTCATTTTATTTCTTTAAAGCTCCAAACTAGTGGTCGTCTGCCGACTTATATCATCCAGTTAGCCCATAATTGCATTAATTTTTTTAGAGGAGGATATTGGGGAAAACAGCTTTTGTCTTTTATACAAACAATTTTTTTTTCTTTAAGGTTTCCATGGGTGAACTACCAAGATGACAATCTCAACATTTCGATTCCAGTGTTTAGTATTCATGGCAATCATGATGATCCCACAGGGGTAACTATTGGGTTCTTACAGTTTGTTGTCACTTCAGTTTGTGGAAAGCATTCTTCTTCTTCCCAGAAATTTTTAGTCAAATTGAGTCAGAAAGTCAAGTTGACTTTGTACATTCATATAAGCTTTTATACTGCTTTTTAGATAATTTTCTAAAATCTGGATTAATAATTGGTGTGTGAGGTATGCTTTTATTTCATTAGTGCTGAGGTTGACAATAAGTAACCCGGAGTAGGAATGAATACCTAACATTTGTATAAAGCTTTATAGTTTACCTGGTGTTTTTGTGTCTCTTATCTCAAAATCTTACCTGTAGGAAATGATTTCTCATCAAAAGTTTTAAATCTAAATTAGATCATCTTATTGCCTGTTTGATGGGGAAGCAATAATAGAGGTCCTGCACTTAAAATATCTTTTTGTTTTATCTGATCATTAATACCATAAATCATTAGTTGCCTAGTTTTTTTTTTCCCCATGACTTAAGAGGTCTGCTTAATATTACAAAGCACTTAATTCAGGGCTGGTTTTTATTAATTAATTAATTTATTTATTTTTAAAATTTTTTTAAAGATTTTTTTATTTTTTAGCAGAGAGATAGCGAGAGAGGGAACACAAGCAGGGAGAGTGGGAGAGGGAGAAGCAGGCTTCCCGCCGAGCAGGGAGCCCGATGTGGGACTCGATCCCAGGACCCTGGGATCATGAGCTGAGCCGAAGGCAGATGCTTAACGACTCAGCCACCCAGGCGCCCTAATTTATTTATTTTTTAATGCTGGTCTTGGACTCATGCCTCTGAGATTGAGACCTGAGCTGAGATCGAGTGGGACATTTAACCAACTGAGGCACCCAGATGCCCCTGGTTTTTATTTTTGGTGGCCTAGACATCATAAGTTTTTTTTTTTTTTTAAGATTTTATTTATTTATTTGGGGGAGAGAGAGAGCGAGTTGAGTATGAGCAGGAGGAGGAGCAGAGGGAGAAGCAGACTCCCCACTGAGCAGGGAGCCTGACGCAGGGCTCGATCCCAGGACCCCAGGACCCCAGGATCATGACCTGAGCCAAAGGCAGATGCTTAACCGACTGAGCCACCTAGGCACCTCATATCCTAAGTTTTGATGAAATGTTAACTTTATATTTAACACGTGGTTCTAGTTGCAGTAGGTCATTTGTAATTGAAGAAAGGTAGCAAATACACTATTGTAATTTTGTTTTGAGAAGGCACTATCTTAATCTATGTTTTAGTTAGTATATGGAATATACTTTAATAGGTAATGTGATATATAGATTACTTCTTTTTAGATATACATTAATATTCTTTGAAAATATTTTGCATAGGCAGACGCACTCTGCGCCCTGGATATTTTAAGTTGTGCTGGATTTGTAAATCACTTTGGACGTTCAGCGTCTGTGGAGAAGATAGACATTAGTCCAGTTTTGCTCCAAAAAGGAAGCACAAAAATTGCTCTATATGGCTTAGGTAAGATGATTTTATTTTACTGTTTATGTCAATAAATAGTTGCTTAAACAACAACTGAAATCAAATTCTGGAATTAACTTTGTTGCTGTATGGAAAAAAGTGAGGCCATTCTAATTATTCCTGATGCGTGACTATAAAAAATGATAGAAGGTTTGGTTGAAATTTTTTATATTTAATAAGGACCACTACATCTTTTAATAGCAGTTTTGGTTAAAAAAAATTGCTTTAGTTTCTGTTGTTGATTTTTTTCTTTCTTTTAGACTCAGATATAGAATCCTGAATGTTAGAATTATAGAGTAATTTGAAAAGCTGCATTTTGGTATCTTGGAAGTCTTTGAAATGTCTGAAGCTTCACTGTCCAGTACAATAACTACCAGCTTCATATAGATACTGAGCACTTAAATGCGGCTGGTCTGAATTTAGATACGCTGTAAATATAAAATCACAGGAGATTTCAAAGACTTAGAAAAAAATGTAAAATACCTTATTAATATATTAGCTTAAATAAATTAATTTCACTTGTTTCTTTTTACTTGTTTTAATATGGTTATTAGAAAATTTAAAATTACATATTTGGCCTGTGTTAGAGGCTCACATTGTATTTTTGTTAGACATTGCTAGCTCAGAGCTGTCATCTGTAATGCTCAGAATATTTGCTTTATCAACTTGGTTATCTTCAATTTATTTAGTGTCCAATAGGTAAAAACCTATTTGCTAGGCTTGATTCCATATGAACAAAAAATCAAAGAATATTTTATTTAGAGTGCATTCAAAGTCTGTTGAGTCTTCCTTGGATTAAGTTCAGCTTGATACTTTGTTTTATGAATGCTATAGCTTTGCTGTTTTTATTGTATATAATTATAAAAATTATATTTCTGGGTGCCCAGGTGGCTCAGTTGGTTAAACAACTGCCTTCGGCTCAGGTCATGGTCCTGGAGTCCCTGGATCGAGTCCCGCATCGGGCTCCCTGCTCAGCGGGGAGTCTGCTTCTCCCTCTGACCCTCCCCCTTCTTGTGTTCTCTCTCTCATTCTCTCTCTTTCAAATAAATAAATAAATAAAATCTTTAAAAAAATAAATAAAATTAAAAAAATAAAAATAAAAATTATATTCCTTGTTAAATCATGAACCCGGAGAGAAATTAGGAAAAATTTCACACTGTAGCCTTAACATAGTTTTTATATTTTTGAGTGATTTTAATATAATAGAAGCTTAGGAGACTTTATTTACTTCATTCAAGTCTCTGTGTGTATATGTGTGTATATTTTATTTTTAAGATTTTATTTATTTACTTGCCCAGTTGAGAAAGAGCACAAGCAGGGGGAGCAGGAGAGGGAGACGCAGGCTCCCCGCTGAGCAGGGAAGCTGACTGGGCACTCCATCCCAGGACCCTGAGATCATGACCTGAGCCAAAGGCAGACACTTAACCGACTGAGCCACCCAGGAGCCCCTCTCTGTATATGTTTTTAAAAGAATAATTATGATGGGTGGTTTATGTAAATACTTAACCCTAGGGAACTTTTACAGTCTTTGTCCAGTTTTCATGATTTCTTTCTTTTTTTTTTTTTTAAAGATTATTTATTTATTTATTTGAGAGTGAGAAAGAGCACAAGTGGGGTAAGGGTCAGAGAGAGAAGCAGACTCCCTGCTGAGCAGGGAGCTCGATGTGGGACTTGACCCCGGGACTCTGGGATCATGACCTGAGCCGAAGGCAGACCCTTAACGACTGAGCCACCCAGGCACCCTCATGATTTCTAAAAAGTAGAAAAGCATCATGGTTATCTATATTTTAGAGATAGGGAAAATGAGATCAGAGTATTATGTCTGATTTCCCAAGTGGGAGAGCAAGAAGTGAAATATACTTTTTAAAAAAGATGCTAACAGGTATTTTAATCACTGCAGTGCTAGGGATCATATCTGCAGAAAAAGGGTGATCTCCTACTTTCAGACTAAGCCAGATCCCAGTATGCCTCAGGCACTGCCTGGAGCATTGCTCAGGTCATCCATTTTCTCCCAAACTCTCATTTCATCCTGTTCTGTTCTCCTTAACTGGATTCCACCTCCCACCCCACATTCTCACCCCAGCCCTCTCTCTACAGTTAACAGATTCTTTCATCTCACGTTTCTTCTCTACTCCTGACCTATAGGGAAACTGACTGGTCCCTAAGGTTCTGTGTCCCACATGCTTCTCTCTGGCTTCTTACAGACTTTAAGGCAGAAGTGGGGGTCGGGGGAAGGAATCCCTTATCCCCCTTCTCCCTGCTTGCCACTTCCTTTCCTGTCTATAAACACCCTGCCCCCTTGAGGCTAATTGGCTAAACTGCACTGCCCTTTCCCTTCAAATTTTTCACCTACCTACCTTCAGATTTTGTCAGCGTTCTCAAGACTTCAACACCTAAGTAGATCAACCTTCTAATGCCCTGGACTTTGTATGCCTTGACTTTCTTGTTTCCAGTTTATATGTTCTGCATTCCACCATCTGTTCCATTGGTCACACTCTAGAAATTCTCTTTAAGAAGCTAGACTTTTTCCAGTTCTTGGCTTCTGCATTATTGGCTTTTCTTCCAAGGCCTTCCGTAATGACTGCATAAAGTAGCAACTTGTCCCCCCACTGATATTCGCCATATTAGCGTCCTTTTTCCCTTTTATGATATTTAAAAGTGGAATTTGTGTGTTTAGTTGTTTTTTTGGCCTTCTCCACTAGACTAAGGTGATCCTTTGGGGTACAGGAAGAATTATTTAAAAGTTATTACATTAATAAAAAGCATAATATCCTTATTTTAAAAATATATATATAAGAATAGTGATCTACTCAGGAAACAAACTGAGGGTTCTAGAGGGCAGGGGGGTGGGGGGATGGGTTAGCCTGGTGATGGGTATTAAAGGGGGCACGTTCTGCGTGGAGCACTGGGCGTTATGCACAATGAATCATGGAACACTACATCAAAAACTAATGATGTAATGTATGGTGATTAACATAACAAAAAATTAAAAGAATAGTGATCTAGTATACACATTATAAAATAAAGATGTTAAAAAGGATGAGATAAAAAATAAATGTATTTAAGTATATCATCCTTTTTAACATTTCTAGTTTATAATGTGTATATTAGATCAAAAGTATGTATAATAAATAAAGGGATAGTGAAAAACAGTATTACCGGAAATTTTAATCAGAATTTAAGCATAGAAAACTTCAAATTTTCATTCCATGTTTTCCACATTTTGAAGGTATGTATGCCTGACATGGGAAACATTTTTTAAATTACAAGTGTCTTCTCAGCAGCTGTCATGCAAGAATCTGGAACACAATCATTTGTAAATAATGATTCCAGATTTCAAATATATCTCTAGTAAGAAAATGAAATACTTGGAGAAGCACATAATTTAGAAGGAAAACATTCATTTTTAAACCAAGTAAGAAACCAGTTTTAAAATAATATGTTTCAGGTTCCATTCCAGATGAAAGGCTCTATCGAATGTTCATCAATAAAAAAGTAACAATGTTGAGACCAAAAGAAGATGAGAACTCTTGGTTTAACTTATTTGTGATTCATCAGAACAGGTAAAAGTATTCTTTGGAAAAAAAAAGTTTTTTTTTAATTTTTGAGTCAAGTATTGAGGTTCCTCAAATCTCTGTTTCCAGGCTTCCATCTTTCCATAAACTGTTCCTTATTCTTTGAAAGTTGTCAGGGCAGGATCATGCAAAACTTACATGTGCTTTGTGTGACTGCATTTTGAAATTGTTTCCAATAAATGATATCTATAAAGAATATTTATGACATATGGATAAGGCACAAGAATAACCATAAAATTGAATACTCTTAAATTCAGCAGAGAAGTAGAACATTACCAGTACATTGTCCCATGCACTTCCCTGACCCCATCTCTTTCTACATACCCAGAGGGAAGCACTATTTTTAATTTGTATTCAATCTGTTGCTTTTCTTTATCATTTAATCACATCTGTATCTGTCACGAGTATTTTATTTAGTTTTGGTACAACTGGAACCCTGCTATATATTTTGTAGCTGGCTTATGTTCCACATTATATTACTAAGATTCATCCATTTTGATGCTTAAAAGCATAATTAATTTTCACTGATCTGTACAGTTAACAGTTTTTCTTGTGTTGGTGGATGTTTTGTGTTATTTCCAGAGTCTTGCTTTTTTAAACCTTTTTGTTGTGAATACTCTTACATGCATCTCCTGATGCATATATCAGGTGTTTTTCTAGAGTATATTAAATATAGCTAGATCAGCTGCCTTTTGTTAGCATTTTGAAGAAGTTTATCTATTGGTAGGGTGCAGGACTGATTGAAAGGAAGGAAGACTCGATTCAAGATTTATTGTGTGGTGACTACAGTTAAAGTGTGGAATGACGGTAGTGATAGCAGTGAAACTGATGTGGAAGGGACAAACCTGAGAAGTTACAAGGAAGAATCCAAAGGGTTTTGGGCCTGATTATATAATTTATTATGTACGGAACAGATATTTATTCAGTGCAAAATACTGTGGTACTAAAGCCCACTAAGTGCCCAGTGAAAGGGAAGGCCTTACGAGGCAGCCTTATGTGTGCTCTCAAACAGTGGGTTTCGAAGAAGGAGCAGCAGGCCAGAGTTTTAGTAAGTGCGGTCTTCCTATAACTTGGCACCACTGGGAATTTGTGCTTCTACTTGCTTAGGGCTTCCCAGTTCTGCTACCCTTTCTACTATCCCAAAATAGGAAAAAGTCAGAAGGAAAAATCATAAGTGACTCCAAGAACTTCAACCAGAATGAGAGGTGGAATGGCAGCATCGGGAATGGGAACGGGTAGTATGATGTCGATAATGGTTAGTTGCTGGTGATGTTAACATTGATCATGTGATGAAGGTGGTGTATGCCAGGTTGCTCCAGGGTCAAGGTCCCATTTTCCATTTTGTAATTAATATTTTGGGAAAAATAATTGGAGGGTATATGAATATCCTTTTTGGCCTTAAAATTTTGCCCGCTAATTTTAGCATCCTTTGGTGGATCTCATTTCCAGCAATGAATACTGTGGTGTTGCAGTTGTTGTTTTTTATTTTCCCTCATTCTTTCTGCATTTATTAATTGAAATTCTTCTATAAGGAAGATTTGTCCTTTCTCTCTTGTTTATTTGTTCATTTATTTATGTTGTTATGGACTTGAAGGATATTTATTTTATCCTTTGAGTTATAATCCAATACTGTCAGGTTTTTGGTTGTTCTTGCTCTAATTGTTCCAGTTTTGACCATTGAGAGTTCTTGTATTTTAGCCTCTTTGTCCTTTCATCATGCCCTCTTCCTTTTTATTTATTTTTGATCATGTCCTTCACTTTCTGGTACCACAAGATGCTCCAGGCTCATCTTGTATTTTCTACCCTAGCCCTGGAATCAACCACTTTTCCACGGAGCCCTGATTGCCTTTTTTGGAGAACAGTATTTAGAAACCCATATACGGCCGATAGATGTGCTTGTTGCTGCTGGGATTCTCTTAGCCCTCAGTGATCAGAGTTAAGGAAATATGTGTATATATCCTAACCCGTGAAAACACATCTGTATTTGTTAAAAACACACACACAAGCATGAGTTTGTACTTATTCTAACCCAGCCCGACAGGTTCATTTTTTTTCTTCTCCCTTTTTTTATGTGGGAGTTCTTTCTCTAACAGTTAGAAACCTGGATCATTTTATCTATAATATTTTTACTTAATTTTTTCAATCTTGGTTGACATATAAGGTAATTTCAAAATTCCTGACCTGTACCCATGAGAAACAAATTTGCCAACTAGTGTTTATGTAAGTTACTTTAGTCTTTAGCCTTACTATATCTCGTTAAAACACCACTTCTGGACTTACTTAGGCCAGCTTCTTTTCCCCCAACCCCTTCAACATGATTATGCAGTTCTTTTGTAATACTGTTAGGCTCATTTGTCACCCTCTGCATTCTTACGTACTTTTTTATTGCTTTCATGGACTTATAAAAAACAGGGTTTGTCCTAGTGAGTGACTTTTTAGGAGCTTTTTATATTTTACTTTATTTCCAGTTTGTGTCTATACATGGGCCGGTTTCTTTCTCTGGCTGAAAAAGAAAGTAGACTCTGAAGCAGAAGAGCCCACCTTATCATACAAAATATTTCCATAGGGATGTTTTGATCAACTTTTAAGTCACAAATCCGAGTCAGCCCACCAGCATAATCTTCCCTCTTCCATGAAGAGCCGGTGCTTTATGAAAGCACAGTTGCATCACATGGTATTCAAGTTATTCTGTGTTTCTTCAGTAACTGTGATTATGTCATACCCTAGATAGATGTTTTTTACATAAAAATATCCCTAGATACACGAGCCTGCGGCTTCTCTGATTTCACTTTCAGCCCTTCCTTGCATTCCTTCTGCTCTGCCATGCTCCTCTCCTTGCTGTCCTTGAACTCACTGAATACATTCTCACTTCAACACCTCTGCCATCAGTCTGCTCTAGGACTCTGCCCAGGACTTAGCCCTCTGCCGAGGACTTTCTTCCCTTGCATGCTTGATCCCTCGTCGTGGTTTTCTGCTCATGTGTCGCCTGGCAGAGCGGCCTATCCTGACCACCCTCTGCATAGTAACATTCCTGTTCAGTGCCACTTCTCCCTTTTTCTCTTCACAGCACTTACCACCACCTGACAGATTATGTATGAGTACACAGGCACACACATGTACATACTGTATTATTGCTTGTTCCCCTACTAGCAAGGACTTTGTTCCCTGCTGTGTCTTCAGTATCTAGAACAGGCCTGGGACACCTGGCACAGAGTAGACCTGCAGGAAATATTCTTGAATGAATGAATATTGATTTGCCTTAAGTGAATGCTAGGTTGAAGTATTTGATCACTTTTACTTAAATTCCCAGTGATAAAGTCAGTGTGAGGGAAAACTTCCTTCTTGTCTTTCCTCACTTTGGGTTTTCACATATCTTTTAATAATGACAACTAATCTAGGTATAAAACCGGAGTTTGCAAATCTTCCTACAGTATTTTATTTAGTATTGAAAACTCATCTCTTATGTAAGACTGAAATTCTTAACTCCCATTCTTACCAGTAAACAAACATGTTCAAGAATGGCTGGACATCTTTAGAAATTTGTTTTTATTCTACAAATTTGTTTTATTCTACAAAGACTTAACTCACTTTCATTTTCTGGCCGCCCCCCCGCCCCATATAATCAAAGCAATTTATACGTTTTCACTATTGATAGAGCTCGTGCTGCTGCTTTTCTGATTTCACTCCCAGCTCTTCCCTGCATTCATTCTGCTCAGCCACACTATTGATAGAGTGCATGCTTTTCTGACTTTCCCTCCGTAAAGCCTTTTGCAATCTGCCTCTCAGTGTAGAATTGACCAGTTTCTCTCTTGCGGCTCCTACTTGTCTGTGTCCTGCAAGTTTGTAAACCTTTTGAGGGCAGGAATTAGGTGTTATCTTCGCACCCCTAATCCCTTGAACAGTTTCTGGCACAAATAAGAGATGTAATAAGGCTTTAATGAATGGAGAAAGAAAGGTCTGTACAGCTTTACTTACTATGAAGTGTTTCTGTATCTCTGGACATTGATATTTATTTTTTAAAATCTTGGTATAGGAGTAAACACGGAAGTACTAACTTCATTCCAGAACAATTTTTGGATGACTTCATTGATCTTGTTATCTGGGGCCATGAACATGAGTGTAAAATAGCTCCAACCAAAAATGAACAACAACTCTTTTATGTATCACAACCTGGAAGTTCAGTGGTTACTTCTCTTTCCCCAGGAGAAGCTGTAAAGAAGTAAGTAATTGTTTTGTTTTGCAAATCAATTATAATAAAATTCTTGCTACAATCATCCTACAGGTTCAAAGTACTGATGGTTTTTTATATGATAGATTTCTTTATGAAGATTGGTTATTTGGTGTAGTCTTACTATTTTCCCAGATCTTAAAGCCATTTTCAACAGGATAGCGTCCCAGTGGTGTTAATGATTTTGCTGCTTATTAGACATATTCAGGGCTAACACTTTTACCAATTAAATTTCAAATTAGAGTGCTATGGATGATGATTACTAATTTCACAAAGTCCATTTATAAACAAATTCACCTAAAGCCATTTAATTGAGATTTTTCTGGTTATAAATGCAACATAGCATATCTCATTTCTTTTAATTCTTTAGGGGAATTATATGATAAAGTAGTTAACAGTGATTAAGCCCAATTTTTATAATGGATTTCACCTTTTGAATCCACTCAGCTTTTGATTGTTATGTTAATAATAGGTTTAAAGAATATGGTAGTAGGATGTAAGTTTGGCTTTTTTTCTTCAGAGTTCTGCTAATTCATTTTATGTATGTCTATGTATGTATATATTCATATGTAATCTGTATATGTGTGATAGTCTCTACCATCGATACTACTGTCATAGTCCTAGTAACATTATGTCCTACCTACTGTCTGTCTTCCCTCACTAAAGTGTATATTTGTTTAGGCAGAGAGGGATAAGTGGATTTTATTCTGGGGAAGAATGTTAACATTTTTTTCTGGTGATAAAACACTAAGTTAAAATTTTTTTAAGAGTATGATTTTATAGAGAAATATGGAACTTAGAGATACGATAGTTTTGGTGTGCAGATTTTCCCAAGAAAATTTACAGTGTGACTAGGCTTTCATTTCCGTCCTCATTTCAGACATGTTGGTTTGCTGCGTATAAAAGGAAGGAAGATGAATATGCAGAAAATTCCTCTTCACACAGTGCGGCAGTTTTTCATGGAGGATATTGTTCTGGCTGATCATCCAGACATTTTTAACCCAGATAATCCTAAAGTAACCCAGGCCATACAGAGCTTCTGTTTGGAGAAGGTAATTCCTCTAGATAAAGGTCAATGAGATCTGCTTTAGCTGAGAGTTGATTTACATTGAATTAAATACTTCCATAGAGTAGAAGTCTTTGTACTTGTTACAGTCTCATGAAGCCCATAAGGAAGCATGCTGTTCCATGAGTTTAATTGTATCAAAGACATTTTCTTTAGTCTTGGAGATGGAAGAATGTCAAAGGTAGAAGAAACTTTGTTTAATTAAGCCCCCTCCCAGTTCCATTCCTCTTCCTCAAAAACCTACACGTAATCTTTTCTTTGTTTCTATTCTGATTTGATAATTTGTTCATTTTATTTATGAAAGCCGGCGGCGGCCTTGATTGGGAATGGGAGGATACTGTGGAGGATGAGGAAAGCCTTAGCATCTCTAATAATCTCTGTTAAGCATCCCTTTCAGCCTGAAAGCTACCCCACATGAAATCTTTAAATGTGTCTGCTGTGCGTCTTGTAGCTTCCGCATAAGTACCGTACCTCACCTTCCATGCAGATTTGCCACCCCTGAACTTCTGAGAAATTCTAGAGCTGCTGCTGAAGTTGCGCAAATGCACTTGATAATGTGTAAATTGACAGCTTAATACCATTAATTGCTTGTAGTTGCTGTAGTTCTTATAATTATCACTGATATTCATCGATTGCTCATATATTCTGGGCACTGTTGATAGCATTTTGCATTTAATCCACTCAACAGTGCTGTAGGTAGGTAGATCCTGTCATCTGCATTTTATGGAAAGAGGAACCGAACCTTAGATGAAATCACTCACCCAGTGTCACGGCCTTCCTGGCAACATGTAACTCACATAGCTGAAAAGTTGGAGTATGCTGGTTTCAAGAGGACCAGACCCAAAAACTCACATTAAGACTGCAGTTTCTGTGTTTAGCCCCCATGACACCCGCTCTGTAGGTAGCTGTCTGAAGCTTCACCCTGAGGACAGTATGTCTACCGGGTGGCCCCCAGACTCACAAAGTCCTTAGAGCAGAAAGAGCCTGTTTTCCCAGTCATTCCAGATCAACTCCTAGTACTGCTTTCTGTTGGAGTGTCCCTGGGAGGTGGAAAATGGATTGATTGGTCAGGCCTATGTCGGGTCTCTCAGCCTTGACACAACTGACATTTTAGACTGGGTAATCCTTTGTTGTGGGAGGTTGCATTGTAGGTGTTCAACAATATCCTCTCTGACCTCTGCCCGCTAGAGTAGTGTCCTTCCCCCAAGTCATGACAATATTTTTATTTTGAGATTAAAGAAATGCTTGAAAATGCTGAACGAGAACGTCTGGGAAATTCTCGACAGCCAGAGAAGCCTCTTATACGACTACGAGTAAGTCCTATGTAGATAAATTAAACTTTATTGATTTTCAGAGGATAGTACTATACAGTTTACATAATTTTTTAAAAAAAATTAGTAAGAAGAGTATATACAGTAATAAAAGCAATCGCCATCTGGCACCAGAAATAATAAAGCTGTCAGGATTTGATTTAATCATAGTTTGATTCTGGTAAATTTGATTTTTTTTTTCCTTTTATTTCCCTTTTTTTTAAATTTATTTGACAGAGAGAGACACAGCGAGAGAGGGAACACAAGCAGGGGGAGTGGGAGAGGGAGAAGCAGACTTCCTGCTGAGCAGGGAGCCCGATGCGGGGCTTGATCCCAGGACCCTGGGATCACGACCCGAGCCAAAGGCAGATGCTTAACGACTGAGCCACCCAGGCGCCCCTGATTTTTTTTTTTTTTCTTATTTTTTTCATTTTCTGAATAGTCTGTTGTTCTATTTAATAGGTTGGTCAAGTCTCACTCCATCTTTTACTATCTCTCTCCCCTCACTCCCTGTGGCCTCCTGCAGCTCTACTCTCACACTCTCCCCTCCTTATCTGTTCAGTGAGGCCCCCCAGTGAGATGGCACCCCCCCATATCTTCTCACCAGCACTCCTGATTTCACTTACCCTCTTCTGCTTGTTCTTTGTTCTCCACAACACATCCTCTTAACCTACTATATGCAATGTATTTATTTTGGTTATTGTGTGTCTTCAACTACAAAACTGTAAGTTCCATGAGAGCATGGAACTTTGTGAATTTTGTTAACTAATGTATCCAGAGATCTCAGAACAGTTCTGGCATATAGCAAGTGCTTGAGAAATATGTGGAAAGAATTAAGTATTTTAGAGTATTAAAAAGTTTAAAGAAATTGAAGCGCTTCCTATGCCTGGAAACCTACTTATTTGTTTCCATCATCGTATAAAAAAAGTAACAAGCCTCTTTTTTTTTGTCCCTCCGCCTTTCTTTCAATTAGTTTTGCCCCTGTCTTTTATTTTCTTCCAAACCCCTCGAAATCCATAGCCCTTCCTACTGATTTAACATTCTGTTCCTCAGTCGACTATAAACAAGGCTCTGATGCTACCAGCTCAGGTAGAAAAGATGTTCAGTTGTCAAAGCGAGTGGCTTGTTTTCATCTGGCTGAATCACTCTTTGGTTTTCTTATCTTCGAGTTATGTTTGACCCATCCTCTCTCTTAGCCCTCTTTTCAGCCTAGGCATATGGCTTTAAGGACCACCTATAGAGTGATGATGCCCATATCTTTACCTCCAGCTTAGATCTCCTTGTTGAGGTCCAAGAGCCACCACCACCACCCCTCCCCCAGCGCCCCAAAGCCTGGTACTCAAGGAATAATCAAAACAGCACTGACATCACCTGGGAAACAATTACTCCTTTTATTTATTTATTTACTTATAGAGAGGGAGGAGGAGAAAGAGAGAGGGAGAAGCAGAGGGCAAGGGAGAATCCCAAGCAGACTCTGTGTCCAGTGGGCAGCCCAATGCGGGACTCGATCTCACAACCCTGAGATTGTGACCGGAGCCAAAATCACAAGTCAGAAGCTTAACTGACTGAGCCACCCAGGCGCCCCTCATGTGGGAAATTATTTATGGGAGAGGGAGAAGCAGGCTTCCTGCTGAGCAGGGAGCCCAATGCGGGGCTCCATCCCAGGACCCTGAGATCATGACCTGATCCGAAGGCAGACGCTTAACAACTGAGCCACCCAGGCACCCTGGGAAATTTTTTAAAATGTAGAATCTCAGGCCCTATATCAGACCCACTGAATTGCATTTTAACAAGATCCCTAAGAGATTTGTATGCACATTAAAATTTGAGAAATTCTGGGATATATAGTGTGAAGATAAAGGATATAGTCGAGAGTCAGAATGCCTGGGTTACTATATGATCTTGAACAGTTGGATCTTTTGTCCCTTGGTTTGTACCTCGTAGATTTACAAGATCAAAATGAATTAAATATTACCTGTTGCACAGTAAGTAATCTGGTCCGTTCTGTCTATGTCTATCCCATTGTCATTGCTGAAGTTGAACCCTGATTTTCTCTTATCTGGCCTATAAATGCAGCTTCCTTTCTGACTCTGCCTTCAGTTTTTCCTCCCACCCCCACCTCTAGCCTCTTCACACTAATGCCAAAGTCATCTTTGTAAAACACAGTCTTGCATGACTTTCCTGCTGAAAATGACTTAATGATCCCCTAATGCTAATAGGAACAAATCTTGCATGGCATTCAAGGGTTTACAATGACCTGGTCAAAACTGACCTCTTTGACTTCTACCTCCTTTTTCTGCCAGAACCTTCTAAGTTCCAGCTATATTAGACTAAAAGTTACTGTTCCCTGGGTTCAGTGGAGTTTATTTCACTCTTCTGTACCTTCGCCCATGCTGATCCTGCTGTGTGGAATGTGCTTCTCTCCTTCCATAGCATCTCCTTCAACATCCACTTAAAGCTTTCCCCTTTTCCAAGAGCCTGTTTTGATCTCCCTTCAGAATCAGTGCTTCTGCCTTTGTGCCCTCGGTGTGCTTTGTATGTACTTGTTAAGTACCAATCCTATTCTGCTTGTACTTATTTATTTACATGTTTGTCCTCCCAGTCAGCTTGTGAATTTCTTGACAACCAAGATTATACTTTCTTATGGCTGTATCCCTGGCCCTTAGCAGAGTGCCTAGCACATTGTGGATTCCTCAGTAAAGTTTGCTTAGTGAATGAGTTTTGTGACTCTTGGGAGCAGAAAATTACAAATCAACCTAAGCTGGAGTATCATTGATAAAATGTATAGAAGAGTTTTGGGGAGACCCAATAACCTGAGCATTTAGCATTTTCTGTTTTATAACATGGTTGCTGTAGAGATGTAATACATAGTTGCTTTGGGAGAACCACATAGTTCTCTTTACCTGGGCAAAAGATCCCATGTTTCTCATCCATGTCTGCCTAATACCATTAGAACCAAGTACAGTTAAATAGAAAATTGACACTCCTTTTGCTAAACACAGTGAATTATTAAATCATTCATGAAACAAAAGAATAGGTATTTTCATTAGTGATAGTCCAAAAGTACATTGTATCAACTAGGGGGCTCTCACTAATTTTATGATTCAGTAAACAAATACTTTTTGAGTACATTTTGTTCTGCATGCTAGGGGATACAGTGATGATAAAACAGAGGAGGTTTTGAATTTATGGGGCTTCTGGGAGGTGGAGGTGTGAGGAGAGACATAAAAAATAGGTAGCAGCAAAATACCAGCCCGTGCTAAGTGTGATGAAGAGTGTAAACTGGGTGGAGGTTAGGGGAACTTGGATAGGCCAGTGATATGCAGTACGATGCTGGTTCCCAGAGTCTATCTTTAGAACAGCTAGTTTAGGGAAATGATTATTATCTCTTGGGAAAAAAAATGTAGTATGCATTTCTCTTTGGAAAGGTCTCTGTATGACTATAAATTTCTTAACTTAGAAAGAGCCTGCCTTGAGAGGGACTGTGACTTCTAAATAGATACTGTGCTTTGAAGGTAATCATTTCTCAAAGCTAACACACTGGATTCTTTTCCTGCATGACTTTTCCAGCATGTCTTTGTTAGTGTGAAAGTATACCCCTAAGATGATAGTCCAATTAACTAATGCATCTAAGGCTGGCATTTTATTTTAGGAGAGAATTTTCTTTCTGTTTTGAAAGTTTAAGTATTTATGTTTAGAAATTTCACCTCCTTTCCTGGTGGTACTCCTGGTACCTAGGCTCTTATCTTAATGTTATCATAGGGGGATGTAAACATTCAGACCTTGTGGGAATTCTTGATGTATCTTGGGTCCATTGAGCAAAATATCTCATGTAAGCTCATAAACCTTTGAAGCTTTGTTTTCTCAACAGAATAAAAGGTCTAACACCCATCATGATCTTTAACATGAATTGTAGAACATTTATTAGCTTTAAAGTATTGAGCATAAACATAAATAATGAAATTGGTAAACTGTTGTTTCTAGGCCTCATAGCTTATTTTGTATTTCCAGGTGGACTATAGTGGAGGTTTTGAGCCTTTCAGTGTTCTTCGCTTTAGCCAGAAATTTGTGGATCGGGTAGCTAATCCAAAAGATGTTATCCATTTTTTCAGACATAAAGAACAAAAGAAAAACACGGGTAAGCTAGTTACTTTCATAAATTAAAAAATACTTTTTATAGGGCTTACAAAAATCAGTCTTTAGTAAAAGAAATAGAAAATGATGAAAATATTTTTATATGATTATTTCTGATATCTTAAACTGGCAGTTGGAATAATTAAATCGCTTGTCTTCTGAAAATTAGATAGCAATCATTTTAAATCTGTGGATAACAGTAAAGAAAGGGAAGGCTTTCTCTGGAGATACAGTTTTTAAAAACAGTGCTGCTGAGTAACAGTGCACACAGACTTTAAAGATTTATTGCTCAAAATATATATTATTGACTATACATTATTAGTGTTCAGAGAATATACTCAAATTTTGCATCAAATATTTCAACTTTTGAGTATATAGGGATTTAGGAAGACCAGTCTTGGAATAAGAAGTATCTCATAATTTGATGTTTCTCATGATCAGATAATTAATTCCTAATTAAATTTCATAAAAACTAATTGCCCTTATTTTAAGTGCATTTATAAAAATAGGCCATCCAGCTGAAATAGTGCTTTTTCACAAGAAATGTTGATCATGTTAAATAAGAGCCTCTTCTAAAACTATTAATGCAGAGAATTTTTATAGAAAAATATGGCCCTTGTTTTATAGGTAAAGCTACTTAGGTTTTTTATTAATAAGCTTCGATTTTCAGTTTCAAATTGTGACCAAATTCTGTGTGCTGTTAACTGAACCTGAAACATTCGTTCAGATATTTAAATGGAACTCATAAAATATTGTTTTAGGAAAAAGTCCTTATCAGATAATTATTTTCTTATGCTATGAATTTTAACTACTTACTTATTGATAGTGGTTTACTTTAATTGTCTATCTTTATCAATCCCTTGAGATTTTATGGGTGTACTATTCATAATAATACAGAATATAGAACTGGTACGTTGTTACTTGAGTTTCGTACATAGTCAGTTTTGTTCTAATGATTCCTTTTTGGTTTAAACATAAATTGCTAAATGGAAACAATAACCCTTTTGCGTGTTTTATTGAAAGCATTTTTTGTTATTTTGGCCAGCTCTACTTCTCAAGTACCTGTAATTTACATGAGCTCTCTGTTTGATCTTCTTGCCTGTGAAATCAGGATAGTAACTGAGCCTTCCTCATAGAGTCCTGGTGAGGATTAGATGATACGATGTGTGTAAATAGTCTAAACATAGTATCCGGCATCGTAAAATGTAGTGATCGTACTTAGGAAGCTGTATTAATTCTACTGTCCTGAGATTTGAAAAAGATTTCCGTTCACTTGTCTTCAACACTTTGCAAGAAACACACTGAATGTTGTGCTTCTTAACCCTCCAGGCCATGGCACAAAATTTTCCCTCTGCCTCAAGTAGTTTTTTCTTTTTCCTGTTTTGCTTAGTGAATCTTATTCATTCTGCAAGTCTTGATTCAAATGATAGCTGCATTTGATACTTGCACGTTATTTTCAACCTTCCCTGAGAAGAATTAGGTTATTTCTTCTCTGTGTGTCATACTCTCTGTTTTTACCTCTCGTAGCATTTCCCGCCTTTATTGTAATCATTTGCTCTTATGTCAGGGATCCTGTCTTTTCACCATTGTGTTTTCATGGCCAGGTCCAACATCCGCTAGACAGTTAATATTTGTTTCCCTGACAAAGGTTATTAGCAGAGTAGGTCCTGGACCCTCGGCTTCCTGGCTTCCTCCTGTACTCACTGTATGCTTTACCTACTATGTGTGAGACAGCTCTCCTGCTTAGGAATGCAGCAAAAGTGCTGTAAGCACACATCCCATTTGCCTCACACAGTATTAAAAAGGGCTGAGATTTAATTAGATGAATAATTTCCACAGTTTCATCAAGGATATTCTTAAGGGAAACTGGCTTTCTTTGTTTTGCTTTGAGCTATGTGGATGTGGTGGTGAGTGTATACAGTTCCAAGCCGTTGCCTTGACTTATAATAAGGAACCGGCGATTGTACCCACAATTGCTTTTGTATCATCAGGGCAAACGGCAATGTAGCGGAACAGGTAAATAGCATCTTGGTGTCGTTACGAAAGTTTTGGCCCTGAACATTCCCTGAAATGGTCTTGGAGAACAGAGGTCTGAAGATCACCCTTTGAGAATAGCTATAGGAGCCAAGACTTGGAATAGGAAAAGAAATACACATTTTGAGGAAAAGACTGTGGCTATTAGCAATAATGCCATGTTTTTGCCTCAAAATTTGCCATGTTGAGCAAGCTGATCATTAATCAAGTTTGGCCATACCTCCTGTACTGAACCAAACCTGCCATGAGTTTGGGCACTTTTACACTGTCACAGAAGCTACTATTTTTCCATGGACTTCTTTTTTCTAGGAGAAGAGATCAACTTTGGGAAGCTCATCACAAAACCTTCAGAAGGAACAACCCTAAGAGTAGAAGACCTTGTAAAACAGTATTTTCAGACTGCAGAGAAGGTAATTTCTTAGTTATAGCCTACATGTTGAAGAATGGCTCTCTGAGGATAACTGACTTTAATTTGGGATATGTATAATTGATATTTCAAACAAAAGAGATCCTCACAATGTTTCCATGAACTAAGTGGGACAGCAATTAATTACATTCACTTCTGATTACTTTTCATCAGGAAAAATCAGTGCTGAATTAATGGTGTTATTGTGGCTATTATTGTTACTGTTGTTTTGCTCTTCCTTTTTATCTCTACTGCATTTTTTTTTTAAAGATTTTATTTATTTGAGAGAGAGAGAATGAGAGAGAGAGAGAGGGCACATGAGAGGGGGGAGGGTCAGCGGGAGAAGCAGATTCCCCGCTGAGCAGGAAGCCCGATGTGGGACTCCGATCTCGGGACTCCAGGATCATGACCTGAGCTGAAGGCAGTCGCTTAACCAACTGAGCCACCCAGACACCCTCTACTGCATATTTCTGAATCCAGGATTTACCTCTCTTGCATCTAGATGTAATTTCAGAACTACTTTATTAAGACAGACACAGGATGGTAAGGCTACTTTCATTGTCATGAGTTTGTGCCACTTTAAGATCTGGTTCTATTAATTGCCTATTACTGCTGAAACAAATTTCCACATAAAACTTCATAATTAAAAATAACGCATATTTGGGGCGCCTGGTTGGTTAAGCGACTGCCTTCAGATCAGGTCACGATCCTGGAGTCCCGGGATCGGGTCCCGCATCCGGCTCCCTGCTCGGCGGGGAGTCTGTTTCTCCCTCTGACCCTCCCCCCTCTCATGCTCTCTCTATCTCATTCTCTCTCTCAAATAAATAAATAAATAAATCTTTAAAAAAAAAACAAACGCACATTTGTTATCTTATAGTTCTGTAGGTCAGAAATCTGACAACAGTCTCACTGGCCTAAAATTGAGGTGTTAGCAGGGTTGTGTTCCTTTCTGGAGACTCTAGGGGAAAATCCATTTCCTTATCTTTTCCAGTTTCTAGAGGTGTCCACATTTCTTGGCTGACAGCTCCAAAGCCAGCAGTGTTACATTTCTCTGGCCATTTTCACCCAGTCTGATCTCCCTCCAACTCCCTCTTTTGGCCTCCCTCTTCCACTTTTAAGGATGCTCATGATTACACTGAGCCCACCGGCACAGTCTCTGGTAATCTCCTGATTGTGCAGCCAGCTGATTAGCAACCTTAATTCCATCTGTAACCAACCGTAGTTTTCCTTTGCCGTGTAACATGTTCACAGCCCAGAGATTAGGATGTGGACATCTTTAGGGGGCTGTTACTCTGCCCACTACACTGGTTAACCTAATCTCTTAATCATCAGCTACCATTTCAGGACTCTACATCACAACCACTCAGTCCTCTGCATTCCCACCTGTCTTAAAAACTACTCCCATTTCTTATTTTTACTTGACTTCTTCTGGCTCATAAAATTTATTAGTAGGCTTACTTACTGTCCATTGTTTTGTTTTGTTTTGTTTTCCCTTCAGCAACTAGATAACTTTATTGTCTTTTTCCCCTGGTAACATTATACTCTAATTTTCCTTGCTCATATAGAATTATTTGGTAAGGAATAGATACTGATTTCTGCATCCAGTGATTTGTACCTCTTTTACAGAATGTGCAGCTCTCACTTCTAACAGAAAGGGGAATGGGTGAAGCAGTACAAGAATTTGTGGACAAGGAAGAAAAAGATGCCATAGAGGAATTAGTGAAATACCAGTTGGAAAAAACACAGCGATTTCTTAAAGAGCGTCATATTGATGCCGTAGAAGATAAAATCGATGAAGAGGTAACCAATTTGGGGTGGAGAAGCTAGTTAGACACTCACTCCTTAAGAGTAGCTTTGATTTTTCTTTCTATTAAACTACTGTTTAACTTCTTTGATTTGTTTAGTTTCCTCATCTGTAAAATTGAGTTCGTAAAATGAGGGTTAAAGTAAAAAGGTCTGGAACAGAATCTTAAAACATGATTGAAATCCATTAAATGCTAGTTGTGTTCTCCATAGATAGGATCTTCTCTTGAAAATGCTTTAAAATGAACGTTACAGGATGAAAACTTCTGTTCTTTTCAATTTTTTAGTAAGTTTTGTTTGAGATTTTGAATTTCATCTAGAAATTCAAATTCATCTCTAAGCATAAAAGCAGTGGAAGGATCAGAGGAGAAGCTCTTCAGGTTTGACTTCGTAGGAATTGTAAATGTTTGTATGTCAGATTATCAAAAAACAAAATGTATTGACATGGAGAACATACTTGAAAATGGGCAGAAGAAAGGTTGATACTCATAATATTAAAGTATCTTAGTAAATGTTAAGAAAAGTAGTAAACATTTCAATAGAAATAATGAACAAAGACATGAATAAGTGGTTCACAAAAGAAAAACAAATGGTAAGCATATGAAAATGGTGTTCAAAGGAACTCACATTTTTATTTGTCAGAGTGACAGCAATTTGAGGAAAGTATTTAGTATGCTGCTATTGGGAGTATCAAGTTTGAGCTGCTGCATTGAAAGGCAGTTTGTCAGTGTTCATCAAGAGGCTTAAGATTTCTCCTTTAACTCAGCCCTTTCCCAAGACAAAGTGAGGTGGAAATTTGTGTATGGAGTAATTTATCTAAGTGTTGTCTGCAGTGGGAAATGATGAAGTAAATGTTGGCACATACACACTAGATATTGTGCAGCTATTAAAAATAACACTTTTGAAGAATGTGGAGAAGTATTTTCACTGTTATGTGGGGAAAGAATGCCATAGATTTAAAACTATATACACTATGATTCCAGTGATTTTTATTTTATATGTGAGTGTGTGTGTACGTGCAAAGAATGAAAGAAAATATTCCAAACATTATCATTGGTTATATTCAGGTAATGGGATTATAGGGGATCATTTTCTGTATCTTCTAGATTCCCTCTAAGCAGAACAAAACGTTATTTTTAAAACTCAATCCCTTTGATTTTGATTTTAGTGCTTTGAATTAGTCAACATGGTTCTCTTAAAGCCTTATGATGTCAGTATGCAACTAGTAATATTCCATGCCAAGTACACTGGGTATAGGGGTTCATAAATTTTTGGCAGAGATGCATTTCTCCATTAAGTACCAGAAATAAAACATGATCATCCCACTCAAATGGAAATATAAAATTATGAAACTCCTAGGAGATAACATAGGAGAAAATCTAGATGACCTTGGGTGCGGCAATGACTTTTTAGATACGACACCAAAGGTATGATCTGTGAAAGAAGGAATTGATAAGCTGGACTTTAGCAAAATGAAAAACTGCTCAGTAAAAGACAATGTCAAAAGAATGAGAATACAAGCAACAGACTTGGAGGAGAAAACAGTTGTAAAAGACACATCTGGTAAAGAAATGTTATCCAAAAAATACAAAGAATTCTTAAAACTCAGCAATAAGCAGCGCCTAGGTGGCTCACTTGGTTAAGTGTCTGACTCTTGGTTTCTGCTTGAGCCCCGTGTCACTCTCCATGCTCAGCCCAGAGTCTGCTTGCCCCCTCCCTCTGCTCCTCCTTCCTCCCTCTCTCAAATAAATAAAATCTTTAAAAAAACAAGATTCAGCAATAAAAAACAGGCAACCTGATGTAAAAACAGACCAAAGACCTTAATAGATATTTCACCAAAGATTTACAAATGGCGGGTAAGCATAGGAAAACATGCTGTATATCATATGTCATCAGGGAATGCAGATTAACAATGAAATATGCCACTATGGACCTATTAGAACGGCCAAAATCTGGAGTACTAACACAACACCAAATGCTGGTGAGGATGTAGACAACAGGAAAGCTCACGCATTGCTGGTGGAAATGCAAAATGGTACGGTCACTTTGGAAGGCAGTTTGGCAGTTTCCTAAACAGCTTAATATACTCTTACCATATGATCCAGCAGTCGTGCTCCTTGGTATCTACCTAAATATGTTGAGAGCTTATGTTCACATAAAAACCTGCACACAGGTTTCTATAGCAGGTTTATTTATAATTGCCAAAACTTGAAAGCAACCAGGATGTCCTTCAGTAAGTGAATGGGTAAGTTGTGAAACATCCAGACAAGGGAATATTATTTAGGCCAGAAGAAGGGAACTGTCAGTCTGTGAAGAGTCATGGAGGAAACTTAAATGCATATTACTAAGTGAAAAAAACCAATCTGAAAAAGATTATGATTTCAACTGTACAACATCATCAAGTATATAATCATACAGACTGTATGATTTCAACTATACAACATTCTGAAAAACAAAACTATAGAGACAGTAAGAAGATCAGAGGTTGCAGGGGTTTAGTGAGGAGCAAGGAAAGGGATGAATAGGTGCACAGAGGATTTTTAGGGCAGTGAAACTGCTCTGTATGATACTATAACTTAGGTTGATACATGTCATTATACCTTTTTCCAGACTCCTAGCTCACCGAGAGTGAACAAAATACAAACTGGACTTTGGGAGCACCTGGCTGGCCCCATCAGTGGCTCTTGATCTCGGGGTTGTAAGTTTGAACCCCATGCTAGGTGTAAAGATTACTTAAAATCTTAAAAACAACAACAACAGACTTTGGACTTTGGGTGATTATGATGTGGCAGTGTAGGCTCATCATTTACAACAAATGTCCCGATTCTGCTGGAGGGAGGTTGATAATAGGGGAGTCTATGTATGTCTGGGGCTGGGGGGCATATGAGAAATCTCAGTGCCTCCTTCTCAATTTTTTTGTGAACCTAAAACTACTCAAATAAAAAAAAAACCCCACAGATAAACACAAAAGCAAATAACTTCAGCATCCCCACCTGGAGAGTTGTTAGGACTCCTGAGAGGGTGCATAAGGGATGGACTCTGGGCCAAACCACCTGTGTTCAAAATCAAAACCCTTACTACCTGTATAACTACCAGTGAGTTTTTTAACCTTTCTCCACCTCTGTTTCCTCATCTGTAAAATGGGGGATAATAATAGAAACTCCTTCAAGATTGTTGTAAGGATCCAAAGAATACATGTGAAGTCCCAGAACACCGGCAGCACATGGCACCTACTCTGTTATTTTTACTCTGACTCATTTCTGCAAATGACTTAGCACTTTTGGAATGGTATATACCACCTAGAGCACTATTACATACTATGCCATTTTAAAAAACAGTTTTTATCCCTTCTACCAAATCATAACAAGCATACTGTCATTTCTTTTAGCTTAAACAACAACAAAAAAGCGCTCTTCACTTCCATTTCCCTTTAGCTACTACTCATCTTCTTTGTTTCTTTTATAGCAGAATTGCTTCAGAGTTTTCTGTATTTGCTGCCCTGATTTTTCTCCCTCACTTTTCCCTTACACCCATCGTCTGGGGGTTTTGACCCATCATTCCAGTGAAGCTGTTCACATCGAAGTCACCATTGACCGCCATTGCTAAATCCACTGTCAGTTCGTCTTAAATCTCCCTTGAACTCTTCTTGAAATCTTTTTCTCTTTGGCTTTAGGACCCTACCCTTTTCTGCTTTTCTTCCTGCCTCACGGTGCATATTCTCAGTTTCTCTTGTTGGTTCCTCACATCTCTCCTGCCTCTTAAATTGGGAGTCCCCAGAACTCACTCCTTGGAGCTCTTCTGCTATGTATTCCTTTTGTAATCTCATCCAGCTGCCTGGATTTAAATTGTTTGGTGGTGATTTTCAAAAGTGTAGCCCAGCCCTCTCTCAGCTCAAGATTTCTGCAGTCAGCAGCCTGCTAGACATTTCTACTTGGATGTTTAATAGACACCTCAAACTACTAACATTCCCAGTCTGAATTGCTGATTTTCAGCCTTTGCTCTTTGTGTTGGTTCTCTTTATGTCACCTGGATCCTGACTGTCTAGAAGTCCTTGGCATTACTTCAGAATATATATAGAATCTGCAGAATATATATAGAATCTGACTGCTTCTCTAGTCTTCACCACTACCAGAGGTCCATCGCCTTGCCATTTCTCACTTAGAGTAATCTAATAGCCTCCAGACTTGTCTCCCTTTTTCTGCCTGTACCCCTCCTCCACCCCCCCATTCTGTCCTCAGTTCAGCTGTCGGTGATACTAACATATTTCAGATCAAGTCACTCCTGCCTTCAAAAAAAGTCCTTACAGTTTTTTTTTACAAGGCCCTATTCAGTCTGGCTTTTTGTTACTTTCTTACCCTCATATCTTCTTGAGCCACAGCAACCTCCTTGCTATTTCTTAAACATACCATGCGTTCTGCCCCAGTACCTTTTTTAAAAAAGATTTTATTTATTTATTTATTTATTTATTTATTTATTTATTTATTTATTTATTTATTTGCAAGGGAGGGCCAAAAGGAGAAGGAAAAAGAATCTCAAGCAGACTCCACGCTGAGCATGGAGCCCAGTGTGGGGCTCGATCTCACAACCCTGAGATCACGACCTGAGCCGAAACCAAGAGTCGGACACTTAACCAGCTCAGCCACTCAGGCACCCCTCTCCCAGTGCCTTTATGTACACTTTTTCCTTTGATTAGAATGTTCTCTTCTTGTTATGCAAGATTCATTCCCTTTGCTCATAAATTACCTTTTCATTGCGGCCTTGCATGATCATTCTATTCAGATGTGACCTCTAGTCAGTATTCCTCACCCTCTTCCCGCTTTATTTCTCTCTGCACACTTACTGTCTTTTGCAAAGCGTTCACGGGTTCAGATATTTGAACATTGAACAACTCAAGACTCCACTGAGCATACTCATTTAAGGTTTTTATTTAAAGGCAAAAGATATGGTGCATCAAGGAAAAGAGTATGGGCAGGCATTAGAGACCTGTGAGAAGCCAGACATAAGCTCTCATGTCCTCATTTGCACAGAGTGATCCCTGGATTGAACACACCAAGATCTGTGCAGAAGTTCCCAGGGAATCTTTTATGCCCCTCTGGTCTCATAATCAAGCCATGCTTCTAACTGGCTATACAGGTTGAAAACTATCAGTAAATAAATATCAGTAAATAAATGGCTCCCCAGAGATGACAGAGCGTTCTTAGTCTAGCTGTAAATTAACTCAGTCCGACCCAACTTCTAAAACACAATATAACTTCTTATTTTGTTTTTGTTTATTGGCTACATACATAGGCACACAATCCTAAACTCCATGGCGGCAGAATTTGTAACAATTTTGTTCATTGTTGGATTCTCAGTTCCTACGATAGTGCTTGGCACATAATGGGTGCTCCGTAAACAGGTGCTAAGTAAATTACTAAACAAATAGAGGTTTTCCCTAATTACCTAACTACGCTATAAGAGCCTGTTGGGCAGGAATTTAAAAAAAAAGAATCTCTAGTTTCCCTTTTGTTTCCAGGACCATTATCAGCAAACAGTAAACATTTAATAGTTGACTTGATAAAATGATTTTCAGAGGCCCACCCACTTCAGATACTATTTTTTTAAGGATTTATTTATATATTTTAAAGAGAGCACACACGTGAGCAGGGGGAGGGGCAGAGAGAGGGAGAGAGAGAATCTCCAGCAGACTCCCCACTGAGTGCAGAGCCCTATGTGGGCTCCATCTCAGGACCCTGAGATCATGACTTGAGCCAAAATTAAGAGTTGGGCGCTTAATCTACAGAGCCACCCAGGTGTCCCCAGATACTATTTTTAGAGAGCCTCCTGGGTGTCTTACAGCCAAGTGTCTAAGAATGATTTGAGCCATGTAATAAATATTTCAAGCCTCTGAAAGAAGAGATTTTTGTTTTTAACTATTTTACTAAAGTGTAACACTCATAGGTATCAGAGTTTTTTCTTTTGCAGTCTAATAGACCCATTTTTCAGTGACATGGAACATTCTGGCAACTGGTAATACAGTTTTGCTTAGGGCCAATATATATATATTTTTTAGAGTACAGTTCTGAAATATTAATGTAAGTCACTAGGGAAATATGATTAATCAATCAACGAAACTGTACTTAAATTTCCAAGTTTTTGGTGCAGTCACTCTTGAAAACAGTATGAAGGTTCGTCAAAAAGTTAAAAATAGAACTACCCTATGACCCAGCAATTTTGCAGTGCTAGGTATTTACCTGAAGGATACAAAAATACGGATTTGAAGGGGCACATGCACCCTGATGTTTATGGCAGCATTATCAACAATAGCTAGACTATGGAAAGAGCCCAGATGTCCATCGACTGATGAATAGATAAAGAAGATATGATATGGTATGCACACACACACACGCGCGTGCGTGCGATGGAATATTACTCAGCCATCAAAAAGAATGAAATCTTCCCATTTGCAGCAACATGGATAGAGCCAGTGAAATAGAGAAAGACAAATACTATAGGATTTCACTCATGTAGAATTTAAGAAACAAAACAGATGAACATAGGGGAAGGAAAAAAATAAAAGAGGTAAGCAAACCATGAGACTTAACCATAGAGAACAAACAGGGTTGATGGGGGAGGTGGGTGGGGGATGGGCTAGATGGTGATGGGTATTAAGGAGGGCACTTGTTATGATGAGCACTAGGTATTATATGTAAGTGATGAATCACTAAATTCTACTCCTGACACCAATATTACACTATATGTTAACTAACTAGAATTTAAATAAAAGTTTGAAACAAAAAATTCCCAAGTTTTATGTTGTAATGGAAAGCATTTCTTAATCAGTTGTAGCCCATTGTTTTATATTTCCGTGATAGGACTAAGCAACAGTTTTGATTTACTGTTTTAACATAGGTACGCCGTTTCAGAGAAAGCAGACAAAAAAACACTAATGAAGAAGATGATGAAGTTCGAGAGGTAATTTCTTGTGTAACTTGCTATGCTTCTGTGTCAGTTTGTTAAGCTAGAATGACTAGTAGGTTTGTTTAGAATAGTGGACCTTACTTTGGTAGATAGGACTGAGCAGGGGTTGGCTGAGGAGATTTATACCAGCGCAGCCTGCCAATATTCGGCTTGCCAGTATTCCTTTTTTATCCTTTTGCTTTTGTCAGAAACTTATTTAATTGTGTGTGGGGGGGTGGGGAGGAGCATATACAACAAGAGCCCTTAGTAATCAAAATAATACATAATTGCTATCAGAGCATCTTATTAGCATAAGATGAAATCTTACCCTACTGAGCTGATACTATTTTGGGCAAAAAGGAAGAAACTTGTGTTTTGCTAGCAGTATTACCATAGATAAATACACAGTGTCCACTGGGCTTTCCAAAATGTTGAAATGGGCTTGATCACCATCAATGCTGTCTTTCTCAGTCTCTGCGGTTTAGGAACTTCTGGTTAGCAACCATTTACCGAAACTTCGGGCCTCTATCTAGTACTTCGTGAATTCATGGTTGAAAATAGATTTTTCTATTTTCTGATTGTCCTTGGTGTTTTATGATTACTATCTAGTATTTAAAGGTTATCTGATAACTAATTTATTGTTGGGATTATCTTGATTGCTTTCATTCGTATCTGTTACAACCTAGCCATTCTACTTTGCATTAGCAATACAGATAGGGAAAATGTGTGGTTTGTGTCCAGCAGAGACTCTTGGTTTAGTGGGTGAGGCAGATACATGTAGAAAGAAAATGTTAAACCTTAGCATGACCTAAAGGGTCGCCTTTGCTGACTTAGTAAAACAGTCCTGCTAGTCCATTGTCATTTTCCCAAGTATTTCAGAACTGCTCTTGACAGGTGGTGAATTGGAAAGAGCTGGAGCATTCGACACATCCCTCAAATTAACTTTTATATCTTCTACTATTTTCTGTGCTGCAAGCAAAAAAGAATTAATAAGACACCCTTCTCCCCCCCACCCCCGCCACCCTTTAAATATTTTTTGCCTTGTTTTAAACATACTCCTTAGGTAAAAGTCAATACCTGGGACACTCAGTTTACTCCTTTTTCCTCTGAACTCTTCCAAAGGAATCCCTGTTTAGCGGTTGATCTACTGATGACCACTAGGTAATACCACAGCCTTTAATGTGAAGCAGTTTTAGATCCTGACAGAGGAAAAGTCAGTTATCAAATAATTCTTCGGTACTGGGACACCTGGGTGGCTCAGATGGATAATTGTTTGCCTCCGGCTCAGGTCATGATCTCAGTGTCTTGGGATCAAGTCCCATGTCGGGCTCCCTGCTCGGCGGGGAGTCTGCTTTTCCCTCTCCCTCTGCCTGCTGCTCGCCCTGCTTGTGCTCACTCTCTCTGTCAAATAAAGTCTTTAAAAAATAGAAAATAAAATTCTTTGGTACCATCTCTAAAGGCAATGAGATAGACTTTCTTTCTTTCCAAATAAAATTTCCAAGTCTATATCTGATTTACTTCATCATCTGTCATACCATACAGGCTACTTAGGATTTTAGGCTGATCCAATAATGCGCCTTACCTGGAATGTTAAGGAATAGGAACGTAGCATTTTGGGTGTTATTTTTTTCTTTTCTCTGTTTTAGTACAAAAATGTGATGCTCTGTGCTTACTGTGGGGAAGTCACCCCCCCCAAATTATGTCCCAATTCATTAGAATATGTAGAAATAGCAGTATAGTAACTCAGTTAATAACCTTTCTTTAGAGAGGATATGCAAGGATAATCTTCTCAGTGTCTAGTTTTGTGTCAGGTTTCTTCTCTTTGTACAACTTACATTGTCTCCATCATGTAATATGGGGAATTTTGCAACATTAACTAACATTACTAGCAGTAGTGCCAGTACTGACTACAGTTTTGTTTCCTACTTCCTTTCTCCCTTTCGTGAATAGCCTTCAGTACTTGATTATAGAACTAAAAGCTCTCACCATCCACTGAATCACAGTCAGCATTTCCGATGTCAGAGTCATTCCCCTCCATCAGTGTAGTGGAAAAAGCAGGACACATTACCTACTTGGTTTTATTCATTACTGTTTTAAAGGGGAAAGGGCAAATGGTATTCATTAAAGTTTCATTTACTGAATTTTTTCTAGATGTGTCATGTACACAATTTCAGTTTCCGTTTTACAAATGACACTGAGGAAAAAAAACAAATGACACTGAGAGCACAGTAAACGTTACACGGTGGGGTGGAATTTGAACCTATTTCTACCTTCAAGTCTAGACTTTTCTACCATACCATGTCCAGAACTTTGTATTATAACAACATTAATATAATGCATGGCCAATGAATGGCTAAAAATGTGAAATTTCTGAAAGTTTTTGATGTGCAGAACATCAAAAATCACTGTCCCTCAGAAGCGTGGATGGAACTGCTGTACTACTTACAAGATGGTTTTGGGGAGCTAAGAGGAGGAAGCTAGAGATTAAGGATCCCTTACCACATTTATATTTGTATTCATCTTACAGAGCACCCTTAAAGTACAAAAGAGTTTGCCAAATAGCAAGAATGAATACTAGAAGAAAGAAATGACTCCTGGTTCTTGGATCATTTAAACTTAACTAACCATTTCAATTGAACATAGATTACAGAAACATTTCTTTGCATGCCCTTTGTGTTTGGAGCCCCTAAACTGTTTTTCATTAGTCTTTTAAAGAATTAGAGTGAGTATTTTATAAAAGGAAGGTAGTAAAGGACCAGACAAATTGCATTTGGGAGTTTTTCAGAAGAAAGCACTTTTGGGTTTAGATTTTTCAGCTATATTTTAAGACTTTAGTAGGTAATTGGGGTTTCCTAGGTAATTTGTCAGCTTGCCATAGGATGTGATAAATGGTCTTAGCATACTATTTAGGACTTGTAATGGAATTTGAGACTTTCCCAAGCTATAACTCCCAACCGTGTAGAATCATTTAGCTCAGAACATGAATCCTAGTACCATGTTTAAATTATTTAACAGACAAAAGCATTAGTCCTTCCAAGAGGCTTTAAAACCTCTTGTTCACATTGAAAAGCTCTAAGTATTTTCTTTAACTATAAGTTCACATTTAAATAAAAAGCCAAACAGTAAATATTTTGGGCTTTGCAGGCCATATGTGGTCTTTGTCACATATTCTTCTCTGTGTATGTGGTTGGGTTTTTTTTTTTTTTTTAATCCTTTAAAAATGTAAAATCTATTCTTGGTCTGACTCATAGTCTGCAGTTTACCCAGCCTCTGGTTTCCTGTGTTCTACCTGAATTTGAGGCAGGATTGATACCCTCTTTCAAACTAATACCAAGCACTATCAAAGCGAAAAGGCATCCCATAGGATGGGAGAAGATATTTGCAAATCATGTATTTGGTAAGTGATTAATATTCAGAATGTACCAAAGAATTCCTAAAACTCAGTCACAGTAAAAAGTGGATGAAGGACTTGAATAGACATTTCTACAAAGAAGATAAACAGGTGACCAATAAACACATGAGAAGATGCTCAACATCACTAGTGAAATGCGACTCTAAACCACAAAGCCACTTCACATTTATTAAGATGACTACTACAAAAAAGAAAATAGTGTTGCCACGAGTAAGGAGAAATTGCAAGCCTCGTGCATTGCTGGTGGGAATATAAAAGCTTCTGTGGAAAATAGTATGATTTCTCAAAAAATTAAAAATAGAATTATGTGACCTAGCAGTCGCACTTCTAGGTATTTACCCCAAGAAATTGAGAGCAAGGACTCAGATATTTGTACACCCATGCCCTTAGCATTCACAGTAGCCAAAAGGTGGTAGCAATTCAAATGGCCGTCAAAAGGTGTACCGATGAACAGAATGCAGTGTGTGTGTGTGATGATGGACTTTTGCTTAGCCTTAAAAAGGAGTGAAGTCCCAGTAATGCTGCAATATGGATGAACCTTGACAACATTATACTAAGCGAAGTAAGACAGCTGAAAGGATGGGTATTACATGATTCCACTTAAATGAGATCCCTAGAGTAGTCAAATTCATATGGACAGGAAGTAGAATAGTAGTAATGAGGGGAAGGGGGTGGTTAGGGAATGGGGAGTTATTTTTTTAACAGGTATGGAGTGTCAGTTTGAAATGAGAAAGGTCTGGAGGTGGATGATGGTGATGTTGTACAACAGTGTGAATGTGTTTTTAATGCCACTGAATTGTACACTTAAAAATGGTTAAGATGTTCTATTTAATGGTATATATATTTTGTCACAATTTAAAAAAAAAAAAAAAGGTGTACTACCAGGAGAGGTTTTCGAATCTCACAGAAAAGCTTATGGAAACATTGTCCAACCAGTGGCCCTGGCCCTGCACTTAGGATGGCTGTGGACCTACACTCCTGAGGCCAGTTAGAATTCCAGTGCTAATTCTTAGAAGTGACATACTTTGTATATATCTGTACACTCCAGAGCCTGTTGCACAGAAAAGTGGAGTTAAAATATTTGAGTGTAATGTTAAATGATAAAATGAAGGTATGGTATTTAGATAAAGGGAAGATATAAAATTTGGAAATGATAGTGGATAATTCATTCCAAGAAAGAATCATAAAAGGGCACATCTTAAATTTTTGCTGGATAACTGCCATATCATTCCAGAGATGTGACACCAGTTTGCATTCTAACCAGTATTTGGGAGTGCTTATTTCTCCACATCCTTGTCATCCTGATGTGTTATGACATCTTTTGATCTTTACAAATCCAAGGGGTGAGGAAATTGTTTCTTACTATTGTTTTTAACCCGTACTACTTTTGTTACTAGTGACTCAGCGATTTTTATGTTTATAAACCATTTGTATTTACGTGAAACACCTGGTCATGGTCTTTGCCCAGAAATTTTTGTTTGATTTGGTTTTTGTGCCTAGGACATTGGTCTCTCTGTAAGAGCACTCACAGGAAAATGTGCACACACACTATGTGTGTGTGGGGGGGTAGCATATTTTAGGGTATTTTTTGTGCAAAAGAAGTGTTTTGGGGTTTGTTCAAATCCAGAATGGGTGATGAACTAAGTGCCTTTTTGACATCTGTGGAGATAAATGTGTGGGATTTTTCCTCCGTTCTGTTAATTCGGTGAATTATATTAAAACATGTTCTATTATTGCCCCATCCTTGTTAGCACTTTGTGAACCTTCTGGTAATGGGTATCCTGGTTTTTCCATATGTTCCTGGATTCTCTTTGTTCGCTTTTATATTCATAAGTGAGATCCTGTAATCTTTTTGTGCATGCAGTCCTTTATCAGTTTTTCAGTACCATGTTATGCTGGCTTTGTACAAAGAAATTGGAAGCTTGCTTTCTTTATGCTCTGGTACTATGGAAAGAGCAGTGGAATTATCTGTTCTTTGAAGATTTGATAGAGTACCTGTGAAACTTTGTGGTTGTGGTTCCTTCTCCAGGGGTGTTGTTCCTTCAACAAATTTCTCCCATTATTCTTTGATATTATTATTATTAGTCTGTTGAGACTGTGTGTCTCGTTGGATCCGTTTAGGTCATTTATTTTCCAAATTACTTAGAATTGAAGAGTATTTTGTCAGAATTCTTTTAATTTCCCCTCTATCTTTTTTCCTCTCCATTCTGATTTTTAATGATGTATATTTGTTTTTTCTTCCTTCTTATTAAGTTAGTGATTTTTATCAATGTGGCTTCGTCCCAGAGGATCAGTTCTTAACTTTACTAATTTGAATGGATTTTTGCTTAAAATTTGTTTCTTTATGATTGTATCTTTATTGATTTCTCACAATTCCTTTTGGATGGGCTTTACTTGTCCTAACTTATGGAATATCAAATCTACTTATTTTCATTCATTCTTTTTTAACAGGCTATAGGCTTTCTTTATAAACACTGCTTTGTTTTGCATATTCCAGTATATAATATTTTTATTATTTTCTAGATTTCTGCAATTTTAGTTTTGTGGGTTGGAGGCAGGTGTTTTTTAAATTATCATTAATTTCTAATTTTATTCATGGCAATTAGACTGTATAATACCCTTTACTATTTAGAACTTAATTGATATTTTTCTTAGCACCCCATGATGTATTAGTTAAACATTTCATGAGGTCTTGAAAAGTATATATTTATTTTCAGAGTATAGAGCTCAACATACATCAATTAGATCTGTCTTATTAATTATGTAATTTAAGTCTCCTTTTTCCCCTTCAGTGTACTTTTTAAAAAGTACAGCTGGTTCTTGTTAATTCTTTATGTTCTATGTCACTGCAAACACTAACCTAGTGAATACTGAACCGTATTGCTCCTAGGGGAAATAACAGGATTGGGTTCCTGCCAACTACTGGTTACAGCATTTTTATCCCCTGAGCAGTACATAACCTTTTTCATGTATGTTTCTGTTTTAATATATATTGTTGAGTTATTAACAATGAACTTAGAGCCAGCAACCCTATAATCATGCCTGAATGAAGCTTATCTCACACACCTATTTCATCTGTAAGGCATATCACAGCTTTCTTGCACTTGGGAGTACTGGATAGCACTTCAGCTACACTGAGTCACCGACTAAACACAAAAAAATGTGAAAAACGTGGCACTAAATATGCCACAGAAAGGACACTTGTTTAAAGTGTGAGAGCTGAAACAGAAAGGCTGAGTGTTCCATTCTTCATCTTCATCTGGGAATGTGTGTGTCGAGAGACTTAGAATTTTTGGGTGCCTGGGTGGCTCAGGTGGTTAAGCATCTGCCTTCGGCTCAGGTCATGATCCCAGAGTCCTGGGATCAAGTCCTGCATCAGGCTCCCTGCTTAGCGGGGAGCCTGCTTCTCCCTTTCCCGCTCCCCCGCTTGTGCTCTCTGTCAAATAAGTAAAATCTTAAAAAAAAAAAAAAAAGAGAGAAACTCGGAATTTTTACCACTCTGCACTGGTCCATAGATGACTACAAAAGTATCAGGAATATTGTTCTGGGGTTTACAGATAAATTTTGGCAAGTAGGTGATTTGCAAATACAGAATCTGGGACTAATGAGGATTGACCATACTTCATCTGGGACAAGAAAAATGAGTTGAAATCTTTTTCTGCGATTTTTTCTTTGTATTTTTTTTTTTTTTAAAGATTTTATTGTCAGAGAGAGAGCACGCGCGCGAGAGAGCACAAGCAGGGGGAGTGGCAGGCCAAGGGAGAAGTAGGATCCCTGCTGGGCAAGGAGCCCGTTGTGGGACTCCATCCCAGGACCCTGGGATCATGACCTGAGCTGAAGCCAGACGCTTAATCGACTGAGCCACCCTTTTTCTTTTTCTTTTTTGTTATGTTCCCTGAAGTTTTTTTCTTTTTACATGGTAATGCCGTGCTGAGCCCTTCATGCTGGGATTTTGCTGTTATTTCCTTTAAGCTGAGATCATCATCATACAGCTAGATTATCTCCCACCTCCCACTTCACTCCTACTTCTACCCTATGTGCTTTGTTCTCATCTTATTTAGTCCTGCCTCTCTTTACTTCATGATATCAAGAGAGCTCAGAAATGCTTTCTACCCACCTATTCTTAGACCTGGAATTTTTTATTCCAAGCAAGAGAGACTATAGTCATGGTCTCTTTGGATATATAGATCGATTTTAGAGAGCTCTATACTGCCTAAGACTCTTCTGTACCTTGTTCCTTAGGTCAGATCTTCATTATATCCATTAACTCTTCAGAACTTTTGTGTTTAGAAGTTGGAGCTACTTTCTAATTTTATTGAGAATGTATTATGTTCATTTCTGTTCTCCTTACTACAGTTAGATTGGTTTAAGGGAAGAGCTCAGGGCAACATTGCTTTTATTTTATTTTTAATCAAAAAATCTGTATTCATTTCAGAGTTAAAATATTTCATTAAGTCTCAAACTTGTCTTTTCTCGGCACTTTCTTATCAGATTAAAGTTTGTGGCATATTCTTGGTCCTAAGCTTTTTATTCTTTCCCAGGCCTTAATTGTTATATTCTACTTAATTCTTTTTATCTTTTTTTTTTTTTTTAAGATTTTGTGTAGTTATTTATTTGAGAGCACAAGGTGGGGGGAGGAGCAGAAAAACAGGGACAAGCAGACTCCAGACTAAGCGCGGAGCCTGATGCAGGGCTTGATTTCACGACCCTGAGATCTCAACCTGAGCCGAAATCAAGAGTCGGACTCTTAACCAACTGAGCCATCCAGGCGCCCCTCTTTTTATCTTTTTATTCTTAATTCTACTTAATTTTTTTAAGAGATGATTGCTCATAATTTTCTGATTAGAGTAATATTTTAGAAAAACTATATTGTAGAAAATTTATCCTATTTGTGAATAAAGAAGAAAAGAGCACCCTAAAATTTCATCACCCACAGATAACAGACATTTTTTGTAAGCATTTTTCTTGTCACTTATTAAGAGCCCGTTGTACAGAGTAGCTTAAATGATGACAGTCTCTTACAAATGGTGATGTTGAATTAGGGGCGATTGCCAGTATTCCTACCAGTTCTAAAAGTTTTGATTCTGTGGAATTTTATCGTTCTCAGCACAGCTTTTCAAAAGGTCTCATTTTACAGATAGTATGGCGGATTGATCTGACAAATCATAGGAATTGAATTTGACAGATAAGGGAGGGGAGTTGTCCTGCTTGGCATTTTTATAGCATGATTAGTGAAAAATAATAGTGTAGACAGTTTGGCAATAGTGCATGTTACCTGAATGACCAGATCAGTGACTTAGGATGCTGCATTACCTACTAATGTGTATTTTCTCCTCTTTCCCTCTCAGGCTATGACAAGGGCCAGAGCCCTCAGATCTCAGTCTGAGGACGCTGCTTCTGCCTTTAGTGCTGAGGACCTTATGAGTATAGATTTGGCAGAACAGATGGCTGAGGACTCTGAAGAGGACATCACAGCAGCAGCCAGCAGAGGAGGAGGCCGAGCAAGAGGCCGCCGAGGAGGAAGAGGGCAGAACTCAGCCTGGAGAGGGGGGTCTCAGAGAGGCAGAGGTTAGCACTCAGTACCGGCTTGCACACACATTCAGTCTTGGCAGCTGAACGGGACACACAGGATGGTATTCCTGTCGTCAGAATTAAGTGTGGCTGTCTTCTAAAATTTTGTGTTTGTAATGCATAAAGCCAGTCTTTAATATAGTTCTGACATGTATGTTTACTTAAATAGATTTTAATGGCCATGTGCACATAATGTTTTAATGACTTTTTTTTTTAAAGATATTTATTTATTATTTGACAGGGAGAGAGAGAGAGAGAGAGAGAGTGAGAGAGGGAACACAAGCAGGGGGAGTGGGAGAGGGAGAAGCAGGCTTCCCGCGGAGCAGGGAGACCCACGCGGGGCTCGATCCCAGGACCCCGGGATCATGACCTGAGCTGAAGGCAGACACTTAACAACTGAGCCACCCAGGCGCCCCTGTTTTAATGACCCTTAACAACATATTTTTTTAAGAACTTCACTATGCTCCTCACAGAGAATCTTTTGGATACATTTAATGTTATATTTAGTCTCACACCTATAAAATAATGGGCAGATATGAGCTGCTAAGGAAAATGGCTATCTAATGACCATTGGCAGGAGGAAGAAACTCCAGGTCATAAACATTATTTTTGTTACTGTCATAGGTTACAAATGCCTTTATTTTTATAAAGTGGCTTCATAAAATTTGTTCAAAAAGAATACTACCCTAAAACAATTTGATTTCTTAAAGCAGTCATTAACATTAATTGCCATCATTGTATTTAATGTGGGACTATTGTCATTGAATAATCCAAATAATAGAAAATTGGTCATCCAATGACTTCCTGATGCATTGTATGACTTCATTTCTAGGAATATTTTTAAATTGTTTTTATTAAGTATTTATCCATTGGAATTTTAAGCTGGTAAGATAGTACTTAAAAGTTAAAAAATTTTCAGGGAAAGAGATCCTCATCCTCTAGTGATAATTTATTTTCATTATCCTTAAGTTTACAAAATGTTTCCTTAAATTTTGATTGGAAGAGTATGAACCAAATGTGGTATAAGTATAGTTTTTGAAAAGTGATTAGACTTTGTGTTTCTTGTTATATATGTCTTTGACTTTTTATACATAAACTATGTTTTGATGTAACTTTATTTACATTTCATTTTGGCATTGTCTTAAAACCTTGGCTACTGATATAATTGTATAGTGACTGCTCATTATTCTAACAATAGGCACTGGTCTAGAGACTTCTACTCGAAGCAGAAGTTCAAAGGCTATGTCAACACCTAGAAACATGTCTATTATAGATGGTGAGTATGGATTGCAAATGATTTTTCTAGCAGTTATTTATAAATCCCAACATAGGAAGACCTAGAAAATCCTCATTAGGAAACCTCATTGGTTTTGTTGCCATTGTTGGGGGGGTCAAAAGGGTTATTAGCATTACAAGATAAATTATTCTTTAAAAGGTCTTTGCCATTCATCAGAGCTTTTGAAAAGAGTGAACCTTGAAAAGTATTTTTTATAATCCCTTACTTTTAGACAGATTTGATTATTTCCTATTTACAGAGAGACCCTGAAGACAGAAAAATGAGTCAGTTGGTCAGTACGTCAACAATGATCAAGGAAGTACCACTTCTTAATATAGTGTTTATTTACTTTCTTATGCTACTTTTCTCTGGCTCTGTGGTGAGCACAAGAAAGTCTGTGATCTGTATTTAAGATAATACTCATAATAGCTAATGTCTATGAAAGAGTTACTGCATGCTTCTCAAAGCTCTGTGGTTAGATACTTACGTTATCCCTGTTTTACAGAAAAGGGATCTGAGGCTTTGAAAAGATAGGCAGTTTACCCATGGTCTCACAGCTAGTAAATTTTAGAACTTGGGTTAATCCCACATTCCCTAGACTCCAGAACCAGTGGTTAACCACTATATGGTTGATCCTTGGACAGAATGGGTTTGAACTGCACAGGTCCACTTATAAGTGGGTTTTTTTCCAATAAATTACAGTACTGTAAATGTATTTTCCCTTCCATATGAAAAATATGATTTTCTTAACATTTTCTTTTCTCGAGCTTACTTTGTTGTAAGAATACGGTATATAAACAACATACAAAATAAGTGTTAATCAGCTGTTTATGTTGTCAGTAAGGCTTCCAATAAATAACAGGCTATTAGTAGTTAAGTTTTAGGGGAGTTAGAAGTTACATGGGGATTTTTGGACTTTGCAAGGGTCAGTGCCCCTCACCCCTGAATTCAAGGGTCAACTGTACTGCTAGTTTACAGAGCAAGATAAGATTAGAGACCTAGCTACTGGTTCTCAGTAGAGAGGTCTTTGCATTATACAGAATAACCTATCGAATTAATGTGAAGATAGAGTAAACCACCCCAGAAGGAAGTGAATTGTGACACCATCAGAGGAAGTCTTGGACATTTATTGGATGGCAACTGACATTGGAGGAAGGAAACAAACATCAAATCCAGTAAATGACTCTTATTTGTTGTTGTTGTTTTAGTGTTCAACAATTTATCAGTTGCGTAAATCCAGTAAATGACTCTTAAAGAAACTTTTTAAAAAAATTTTTTTAATAATTAATTTTTAAAAAATATTTTATTTGAGAGAGAGAGAGAGAGATCACAAGCAGGGGGAATGGCAGAGGGAGAAGCAGGCTTCCTGCCGAGCACGGAGCTCGATGTGAGGCTCGATCCCAGGACCCTGGGATCATGACCTGAGCCAAAGGCAGACACTTAACTGACTAAGCCACCCAGGCGCCCCTTAAAGAAACTTCTTATCAAGAGTTCTGGGGGCACCTGAGTGGCTCAGCTGGTTAAGTGTCTGGCTCTTGATCTCAGCTCAAGTCTTGATCTCTCAGGGTTGTGAGTTCAAGCCCCATGTTGGGCATGGAGCCTACTTGAAAAAATAATAATAATTTTTGAAAAGTTCTGTTGCTGTATTTTTACTCTGGTTATTTAGTACTTGAGGAGAGCCAGCTAAGGTTCTTATCTTGACTTCAAAAGCATGCTGTCTTTTAGGAAATGGCGTCCAAAAAGGTGCTCTTCCATTCTTGGCAGGAGTAAGATAAAAGCAGAGAAGGGGAAAAATAGGCACCATAGAAAGGATCTAGGCAGAGTTCAACATGGTAAAAATGCCTAGTGACTTTTAACAACTCACTCAGACTCCTTAAGTTTGTTTCCATAATAGACTCTACATAGTGGGTTGTTCTGGAGATGAGAGGCAGAGTCTGGCACGTAGTAGGCCTTTACAAAATGTTCGTTATAAAAAAAAGAAAAAGAAAAAACAGAGAGAGATAGAAAAGCAAAGTGAAAAAAATATGTACACTTCCAGGTTAAGTCACCAGAAGTTGGTTAGCATGTGACACAAAGGCATACCCACCTTTACCTTAACCCAAACTACCTTTTTTCGTCCTGGCTTAACTATTTTATATGAAGCTTTCCTTGCCACAAATGGGCAGAATTAATCACTTAAAGTGAGTCTTTGGGCTTCCATTTTGTTGTTGAGAAGTGAGCTATTAGTTAAGCTTGCTTTTTTTTCTTTTTTTTTTTTGAAGTAGTCTGTTTTTCCTCCAGCTGGCTGTCTTTGATGTTCTGCAGTTTCATTGATGAATTTAGATATGAGATTCTTTTTTATCCTGCTTAGGATTTATTGGGCTTCATGAAACTGTGAATTGGTGTCTTTCATTGCTCCTAGAAAATCCTTTCCCTTAGGGCGCCTGGGTGGCTCAGTCGTTAAGCGTCTGCCTTCGGCTCAGGTCATGATCCCAGGGTCCTGGGATCGAGCCCCGCATCGGGCTCCCTGCTCTGCGGGAAGCCTGCTTCTCCCTCTCCCGCTCCCCCTGCTTGTGTTCCCTCTCTCGCTGTGTCTCTCTCTGTCAAATAAATAAAATCTTTAAAAAAAAAAAAAAATTCTTTCCCTTTAGATAATACCTCTGTGCTCTTTTTCTCCTCCCTTCAGAGTCTTCAGTTAAATAAATGTAAGAATCACTCTGTCCTCCCGGGACTACTAATCTCTTGTATTTTCCCTTGTTTTATCTTCCTGTGTTATATTATCTTCTAATTCACCCATCTGTTGTTTTTTTTTTTTTTTTTAAGTAAACTCTAACCCCAACATGCGGTTCAAACCCATGACCCCAAGATCAGACGTCGCTTTTTCTACGGACTGAGCCAAGCAGGCCCCCCATGCCCATCTGTTCTTAAAACTGTCCTTTGAATTTTTTATTTTCATTGTTTTTGGTGGGGGTAGAAATTCCACTTAGTTCTTTTGAAATACACTGTGTGATTTTAAAATTCCCTGCAGATGTTTTTAAGCCTCTCTGTAATTTTGTGTGTGCCTAGTAAGGGTATTTGTTCTTTTAGTCTTTGTCTAATGACCCAGTGTCTGAATGTCTTTGGCCTCTTTTTATTGTCCATTTCTGATTTCTGTTTCTGTTGGTTCTCATTTATGGTGACTTGTTTCCTTGCATGTTTCATTATCTGTTGTCCCTAAGAAATGATCAGCAAGAATAATTTGAGGTTAGGATTGAAGTTAAGTTGCCCCAGAGTTGATTCATATTTGTTTCTCCAGGCTTCTAGGGGCGCCACAAGTCTTAGGCCACATTAAACTACATTTAAACTTGAGACTTGAGGTTCGACCAGCTGATAATATACTTGCAAAATCCTGTTTACATCTGCTTCTCTCCTTAACCACTGGGGTCCCAGCTTAAGGTAGGGAGGAAATGCATCAGGCCTCCTACCTTGAGCAGGCCTTGACCTGTGGTAGCTCTTTCCCTCTCTCTACGGAACTGTCAAAACCAGTATGAACATTTGTTCGGATCAATAGGTCCCCAGGGAAAAGGATTCTGCTTGCCTCTCCCAGTTTGAGCTTTTCTTCTGTTTTGGCCTATTACTTCTTTATGTGATCAGCAACTCAGTGCCGCTAGAATTTTTTCTATATGTTTGATGAAGCAATTTGGGTTGCTTTGAGCAGCAGTGTTTACCTGAAAACCTAGACCACAGTAAACAAATACAGAGGTTTTTATCTTTATTTTCTTTCTTTAAAACTCACACGTGGCTGCCTCCTTTGCATCTAGAACTTTTTATCTCAGGGGTTTTTGTGAGCATTTTTTTTCCCACTTTCTGCCCTCAGCTCCTTTCAGAACTGCTATGCCTGTGAGGCTTTTCACAGACATTCTTTCATGAGTCCTCTTCTGTTACCCATTGAGAATGTGGAATAAAGCTTCTGTTTGTATAGAGAAGACAAGAGAGCAGTTACAGTGCTTTAAAATGTTCGCAAATAAACCTTTTTTTCCAAGTAATATTCATTTGTAAAAAGTGAGCCAAATTAATATGAAATTTAGGATTTCCTGAATTATGTGTAGGAAAAAATCTAATTGTGGCGCCTTTTGCAGCGGATGGTGTGGTTAAGACCTGGGCTTCGGAGTCAGACCCGGTATGGCCCGCCAGCTCTTCACTGGCTGGTTTCACGCCCTTACACTGCAGGCACCAGAAAAACAAGGGTGGAGTCATTCTTTTTCATCATTTCATCATGGTGTCCGTAGTGCCTGGCTGTAGTAGATGTTTATTAAATACTTGAGAATGGCTGAATAAAAGTTACTTAGAGATTGGATAGCATAAAGGTTAAAAGCGTGGTTCTAAAGACAGCCATTGTTTTGAATTCTGACTCCTTGATTTACTAGTTCTGTGTCCTTTTGGGCTTTCCATCTTCAGTGTCCTCATCTGTAAGTGGGCTGACGATTGCATTTATCTCACCGGGTTATTTTGAGGATTGATGAGACGATACATGTGGACTATTTGGCATAGTATATACATATATTAAGCCCCCAGTAAGTTTAAACTGTTTCTATTCTATAAGCTTCAGATCCTTAGCTATAAAATTGGCAGTGTAGTACTGACTCCACAGAGTAGTTACAAGTATCAGTTGAACTTATGGGTATACATTACTTAGCACAGGATTTAGTAAGAATCCAAAAAATGATTGCTGCTATTAGTATTAGTGGCAGTGTTTAAGATAAACTTATGAAAATGGATGTTTTATAAATATTTGTCTAAATTTGTCTTTTATGTAAATTCATTTGGTCAAATGGTTTACAACTAAACTATCTCTAACATTGGGGCTTTTTTGAAAAGTGAAATAGACTTTTTAACACATGAAAAACATTTTTATTAGGTTAGATTTGGTGTTAAGTCTCTGACAAAATAACCATGGGGTACTAACTATAGCTACTGTAACGTTGGGACAAAAGCACCTTTAAAACTGAAACTTCCAAACCCCTATTGGAAATGGAAATATGAAGAGAGCTATAACGGTACAGTTCTACCATTATCAAGCCCTGTGGAGTGTAGAGATTTATTATTGTACTGGAATTTTATTGGAAACGATAGATACTACACTTCCAGCCAGCAGCAATTGTAAATAATAGTTGACAGCCCAAATTTTTCCCTTGAAGTTTGTCTGCAGAGGGTGGTGAGTAAGTGAATAGTCCCTCTGAAGGCTCTGTGATTGCGTGTGGTTTACCATCATGGCGGCCACTGCCGCATCTACGTCTACTGCTGTAGCTACATTATTTGAATACCTGCTACTTCCTAGGCACTTGGCAGAATTATTTCCATTAACCACCTCTTTTTATCTTTTCAGCGATTTTCTGCATGAATTATTAACACTATTTTGTGATGTAGGAAAGACGTTAGGGTTCGAAGCCGATGGCCAAGAAAGAATTCTTGAGACGTCTTTGATGCAAAAAGATGGTTTTATTAAAGCACAGGGACAGGACCCGTGGGCAGAAAGAGCTGCACGGGGGTCATGAGGAGCGACCCATTATATACTTTCAAGTTGGGAGGGGGTTGAGGCTAGTGTAAGCCTCCCAGGTATTTTGGAAACAAGGTTTCCAGTATCCTGAGGGGGCTAGCTATTGTTAGGAAAAGTCACTTATTACTGTTTAGTAAAAAGTCCATCATGAGACCCTTCAGATGTATATCGGTGGGTCATATACTTAGGGGATGATTGCCAACATGTATCTTGGGGGTTAGAGATAAAGGAAGTTTTCAAAGGAATTTTTTTTATATGTTAAAGTGGACTTACAGGATCCTGGGGTTGGGCTAAGATTGCCCTTTGTCCTTAGCAAAGTATCAACTTCAAGGCAGTTGAGTCCCTAGAGGAATGTCATTCTGCCTGTTTCAAGGACTTGTCAGTGGGCTGTAGGTAGTAAGGAAACTTAATAATTTTTCTTTTGCCTTTGTTTCCCACATCATTTTATGGGTAGGGAAATTGAGACTTAACGAAGCCAAGGAGCTTGGCTCTGGTCACCCAGCTAGTCAGTCAAAATGAGTTTAACTCTACAACCACCATACTGTATTGCCTTCCTAACAGACCTCAGTGCTTGTTTTTCTGATAAAGTTAATTTCTCTCACTGACATTTGTTGGGGATAAAAAGAAAGGAGGGTTTGGTTTGTTTTTGTTTGTTTGTTTTAGGAGGGCTCTTCAGGATGTGAGAGTTTGAGGAGTCAGTTAGTGAATAATTATTGAGCATATTCTTTAAGAGTCATGATGGCTGATTTTTTTATTCAGTTGCCCTGGTTACCCTTTTGAATAGAGTTAGGATGTAAGGCCCTAGTAATTGAGTAGAGTGGATAAGAACTTTGCTTCTGCCCTTAATCTCTCCTCTCAGACATCACAAGACTGGGGATAGACCTGGAATAGGAAAAATGAACAAATCATAAATTTAGGCTAGATAGAACAATTCCTTAGTTTCCAGACTACAAGAATGTTGGACTTTGTGGGTTTCTTTGAGCTTTTGACTTTTTCAAGGCCTCTGTCTTTTTTTCCTCCTCTTGCCCTGTTCAGTTTGGGGGTTGTCTTGGGGGAAAACATTGTTTTATATTAAGAAACTGGTAAGGCTTAAGAGAAAATAAAACTCTTAATTGGCAGTTTGAAATTTATTCTAGGTTTTAAATATTCTACGCCCAATTCAGTATGGGGGGGAGTGGGGAGTTACCTCACCCCACTAAGCAATTCTTGGACATCAGCTGGGTTTCCTACAATTCAACTCAATTCTGACACTGTCTATCCAGAGGTAGCATTAGATTCCACAGGGTTAAGGGCTGAGTTCCACAAGATTGCCTCCTTCCACTTCAGAGGCTCATCACAAATCTAGCTGTGCTTCTGACTGACTGGCTATCAGTCAGTTTCCCCTAATTCCCTCTTTGGGTTTAATTAATTTCCTGGGGCGGCTCACAGAACTCAGGAAACTAGTTTATTTACTAAATTTATTGGTTTATTACAAAGGGTACAAATCAGCAGCCAGTGAAGAGATACAAAAGCTAGGTCGCAAACAAAGAAATCGTATCCTCAGAGAGTTTGGGGGCCAGCACCCTGGCGTATGGAAGCAGTCTGGTTCGCCACCTCTAAACTCACCAAACCCTTCCTTTGGGTTTCTGTGCAGCTTCATTACCATTAATTGATTGAATCATTGGCTATTGGCGATTGATTCAACCTCCTGTCTCTGTGGAAATCATGGGGTGAGACAGTTCCACCCTTCATTTCTGGATTTCCTGGTTGGTTCCTCTGGCAACCAGCCCCCAGTTTTAGGTTTGGTCCAAAAGTCACTCCATTAACCTAACAAAAGTCACTTTCCTGGCTCTTAGTACTTAGGAATTTCCTAGGGTAATTTTAGGAGCTCTGCCAGAAATGGGGACCAAGACCAAACACATATTTCTTATTATAAGATCATAGTATCATTGTTTTGACTTGGGGGAAAATAAAGGGTTAGCTAAACTTCATGTTTCTAAGTTTTTTTTGTTTTGTTTTAAGATTTTATTTATTTATTTGACAGAGAGAGACACAGCGAGAGAGGGAACACAAGCAGGGGGAGAGGGAGAGGGAGAGGCAGAAGCAAGCCTCTTGCCGAGTGGGGAGCCCGATGCGGGGCTCGATCCCAGGATTCTGGGATCATGACCTGAGCCAAAGGCAGACGCTTAACCGCTGAGCCACCCAGGCGCCCCTGTTTCTAAGTTTTTAAAGCTAAAATGTAAGGATTTAAAGGAAGTGTTAGCATAAAAGATACACTGTTTTCTAGGATTTCCGCTGGACTCTTCCTTTGATATGGCTAACAAAGTAGAGGAGAATAAGAAAGCTCTTCCTGGAACCACAGGGTTCCTAATATAGCCACAGGGAATGGTACTTCCAACTGTAAGGGAAAGAAGAATATATTTGGAGTTTAATCCATTAGATGGTCAGATTTTATCCTTCATGTAGTTTCTATAAAATATTTTTAGTGTAGGTGTATTTATGAGCGTTACCTGTTAATTATATTTGAATAAGCCAGGATATCAGGAGACTGGCAGCTGGGCATTGATTTATTTGAACATATATTTCCACCTCCCTTTAGATTTTAAAAAATATAAATGTTTTATAATTGGCCATCATGGATTTTTGCAGATAGAGCTTACAAGATCTTTAGCTAACAATATGTACAAATTTTTCTGTTATTTTAAGAATAACATAATGGATGTTTATTCTTTCACATTATAGCCTTTAAATCTGCAAGACAGCAGCCATCCCGAAATGTTGCTGCTAAGAATTATTCAGAGGTAAGATAAAAAGTTTTATAGTTGTGTGTTAATAACTTCTACTCCCTGCATTATGAATTGTCAATTCTTTAATCTACAAAGTAAATAAAAGAAGGAAAAAGTGGGAAGCATTAAAGCTGGAGAGAATTTTATGGATTATCCAGACTGAGGGCTTCTAGGATTTTTGTTTTCTTTAAATACTGTATCTCATGATTAGAAATCCATAAATGAATGTTTACAGTAATATTTTCAAGGATAACAATGTTGAGCCAAAAAGGTCCATGCATGGAATATTAATATTGAAGATTGGAGTTCAGTACGTATAGAAGTCTTACTTAAATCTGGTTTCCTTTTGTTACTTACCCTCTCATAATACTGTGGCTTGTTCGCTGATGGCTGGAGCTAGACTCAAGACAAACTAAGCAGCCAGAATGTAAGGACCTCTGTCTTAAGCTTTAGATTCAACATAGGCCCTCTGCACTTCCTTTGGATTCCAAGATTTTATATGGGCTTGATGCTCATATTATCTTACTTTCAAGACCCACATGTCTTTACGCCTAAGGCAGGGCTCTTGATTCTGTGTCAGGGTTTCTCAGTAGCAGCACTGTTGACCAGGTAAGTCTTGGTTCTCAGTAGCAGCACTGTTGACCAGGTAAGTCTTGGACCAGGTAAGTCTTACTGGGAGGGACTGTTGTCTGCATTGTAGGGTTTTTAGCAACATCTTATCCCCTACCCTCTAAATGCCAGTAGCAACCCCCCTAATTATGACAATCAAAAATGTCTCCAGACATGTCCATGAGTTTCCAGAATAATAGTTATTATCACCTCCAGTTGAGAATCTGTGTTCTATATCAGACCTGCCCCACCAGCGTTTTTTCCCATTTCATACTTCGTCTCTTGAATATGTGACACAATTGACCCTTTTCCAGGAAACTTCTCTGCTCTGATTCTCATTTTGTCCTTTTATCTCCCTTAACTTCATCTCCCCCTCTTCCTGTTGTTGCTGGTATGTGGGTGCCAGTGCTAATAACTTTTATCCTGAGCTCCATTTTATTATTTGCATTCAACTATTGCCTGCTGTCACTTGCGGATCATCTAAAAGCAAAATTAGCACATCCACAAGGTAGTGTCTTTTCTAGATTTTTCTCTTGTAAGGCAGGAACATGAGTTCAAAAGGAACAAGTTGTGCTAAACTAGCTTTTTTTTTTTTCATTCTTTGATTGTGGTTACACAGTGGTAGATTGGAGGAGTGTTGAATACATTTGATTCTTTCAAGGTACATAAGACAGTCTTCTGTTAGTTTTATGACAAAATGCAGAAATAATAGCCGGATTCATAGCTTCTTGGACAACTACATTTAACAATTTTTTATTAGTAGTTCAATGTCAGCCTGGAGGGGGAGATCTCAGGTGCTGTTTTTTTCACTGTTTTGTCCTTGGCTTCATTCGCTAGTTGAAGACATAGCAAATGTGTGTATTAAGTGTCAAGATAACACAAAACGTAGAGAGATAAGTAGTATTTTGGATGATAGAACCAAGAATAACAAATATCTCAGGGCTCCTGGGTGGCTCATTTGGTTAAGCATCTGCCTTTGGCTCAGGTCATGATCCCAGGCTCTCTGCTCAACGGGGAGCGTGCTCCTCCCTCTGCCTGCTACTCCCCCTGCTGTGCTCTCTCTCTCTGACAAATAAATAAATAAAATCTTTAAAAAAAAAAAGGAATCACAAATATCTCTACTGGGACCTAAAACTAACAAATGATGTTTAACAGGGATAAATGTAATAGAAAGATATCCAGTACTTCCCACATGGTTTTATACCTAATTTTAAACTGGAAATGGAACACTAATGGTCTGACTCCTCACTAAAACCCAAGAGGTCTACAGGCACTGTCTGCACATGATGTTGTGTGAGTCATTCACCAGTCTAACTGCATGTTTCTCTAGGTACCCTGGCTGCCATGGTGTTCAGGAGAAAAGTGAGCTCAGACATGTATAGAATACCCTTTGTGATTGAAGAGTGACATTGGAGGGAAGTCAGGCTAAGCTTCAGGTTTTGTTTTTTGTTTGTTTTTTAAGATTATACGTATTTATTTGAGACAGAGAGTATGCATGAGCAGATGGGAGGGAGGGAGGGGCAGAGGGAGAAGGAGAAGCAGACTCCCCACTGAGCAGAGAGCCTGATGGCGGTGGGACTTGGTCCCAGGATCCTGAGATCATGACCTGAGCCAAAGGCAGACGCTTAACCCACTGAACCACCCAGGTGCCTAAAGCTTCAGTTTTAACAATTGGTTTCTGCCCCCTTTTTTCTGACTTTTTTTTTTTGTATATTTGAAAATTTTTTTTTGAGATTCAACTATTTATTTTTATTCAGATAAATTCCATTCCCATAAAAACTATTCCCTGTTTTGTTTTTCCCTTAGGTGATTGAGGTGGATGAGTCAGATATGGAAGAAGACATTTTTCCTACCACTTCAAAAACAGAACAGAGGTAGGTGCAGTGATTTTCTGCAAGAAGAAACATCTGAAAAAATTTAAAATTATCCAGAATTCTACCTATATGTTTTTCTGTGCCATAGAAGTTTAATAGATTTATTTTCAACTGGTCAAATAAATAGAGAAGTGAAAAATAGAGCAAGGGCTAGTTCATAGAGGTGATGCAGCATTACTGCAGGTGTTTTTCAATGAAACTTAACCTGTAATTTATTTCCTTTTGCTTTTATTACTCAAGAATTTTCCTGATGGAGTTCTGTGTTCTCTCTAATTAACAGAAAATAGTTTTGTATTTTTTTTAATATTTGATTTCAGCTTCTCTTCTTCATTATCACATTTTTACATACTGAGTTACACAGGGTGCTGTGCTAAACACTAAGGACAGGATCACATTGGCTTTTCCTGCCTTTGGAGCACTCATATGCTTTTTCCTGTCCCTTTTGGTTTTTGCCATTTTTGCTATTACTGTAAAGCTTGGCTTGATGCACTTTTAGCATTTCTGTGTTAGTATTTTAGGTGGATACTGCTTAACTGAAGCTCAGTTAATGAAAATTTCTACTTAAGAAAATAATCAAGAGCTTGTTTTAACTCTGATTTTCTGTGTGAGCATTACATAAGGTCTGATGGGGGACAGAATAAATGTTTTAACATGGTTACTGCCTTTAGGCAACATAAGTTATAGTGGAAAAGAGAGATGAACACATTTCAATCCATTAAAGGATGATGAGTCAGTACATAATTATGTGTGAAATTTTATGATACAGACTTGGTGTGAGTGCTCATAGGCGCTTAGAAAACGGAGCAAGCAGTATGGGCTATGGAAGAAGAAAAAGGATTCTAGAGGGAGTAACATTTAGCTGAGGTTTTGAGATAGGAATCATCTGGAGCAGAGGGGTGGAGAAAGACAGCCAAGAGTAATGGCCTAAGCAGGAGCTGTTAGCAATAAGGGGGAGAATGAGAAAAAACCCTACCTCAGTGTTTCTCACCCTTGTTTTCATGATCTCAACCTTGTTTTCATTACCTAAGGATAAAAATTAAATTTGATTTAAATTAATTAAAATAACAAGAGAAATTAAATGCTAAAGAATGAAATTTTGCTGGGTAGGATTGAGCTTGGGGAAGGCCAAAACCATTGTAGTATCTCAGATTTTTCACCTACTCCATCTCCTAGAACCAGTTTTTGTTCCTCGTGTGTGATAATGACCCCACTAAGAATATATGCTTTTTGTGAATTAAGGGTCTCTGTTAGGAAAATTGGTATGTGTAGTTACACAGCCACCTATTTGTTCAGTTACATGTTATGCTAGGAGCTGGGGGTAGAAATAATGGAAGAAATGTCTCCTTCCTTCGAGGAATTTCCACTTTAACAGTATGCTAATTACAAGGCACTAATAATCCATCAAGATAAATGTTTTACTCAAGTAATGAAATCTAAGGGAAGTGACACTGTCTTCTAGAATAGGTCACTGAAGACTTCACAAAGAAGGTAGCTAACGTTTGGGCTGATGATCAGCAGGTGTGTAAGAATGTTTAAAATAATTTGTCAGGGAGGGAGAATTTCTTCTGCCCTTCAAGGTCTTTCTAGCTAGGCTAAGAACCAAATTGACATGAGACAGATTAAGAGGAGGAAATCAAAGTTAATTTCATACATGGGGGAATCCACACAAACATGGAAATTCCAAAGACAGACAAAATGAGGTATATTTGTCCTTCTGAACTAAGGAGAAGGGGGTAGGGGTCTTGGACACCCACTGGAAAGAAAGCAATTCACAGGAAGGTAAGAGAGAGTAGATGCTTGGTAAACAAATGTTCGCCGGGCCGCTCCGAATCAGCAGGACAGAGAGGACTTGGATCAAACAGGCCTTGCTAGGTTCCTCCCTGTCGACCATACCTAGTTCATCCCATGATGTAGTTACCTCTCTATGGTGATAGCTCTCTTCCTGGAACAGGTCCAGTATCTAAATCCTTTTTAGGCATTTGAGGGGAAGGTAAAGAGCTTTTCCTGAATCTGCTGAGTTTTGATTGCTTTTTACATACCAAAGTAACCCATGTTGGGGTGGCCTGCCATTGGCCCCTACAAAATTATCAGGGTGCAGCAATAAAGAGTAATGTCACAGGCCACAGACATCTGCTTTGAAAGGGAGATCAGGGAAGGCGTCTGAGGAGGTCACGTTTAAGCTGAAATCTTACTGAGAGACTTGACCTTGCAAAAAGCAAAGGGAAAAGCACATGTGGAGTCTCTCTCTCTTTTTTTTTTTTTAGTTTGTTTTTTCTTTTTAATTTAAATTCAGTTAATTAACATATAATGTATTACTGATTTCAGAGGTACAGGTCTGTGATTCATCAGTCTTACTATAACACCCAGTGCTCATTACATCACATGCCCTCCCCAATGCCCATCACCCAGTTCCCCCATCCCTCCACCCCCTTCCCCCCCAGCAACCCTCAGTTTGTTTCCTGTGATTAAGAGTCTCTTATGGTTTGTCTCCCTCTCTGATGTCATCTTGTTTTATTTTTTCCTCTCTTCCCCTGTGATCCTTTGTTTTGTTTCTTAAATTCCACATGTGAGTGAGATCATATGATAATCATCTTTCTCTAATTGACTTATTTCACTTAGCATAATATCCTCTAGTTCCATCCATGTCGTTGCAAATGGCAAGATTTCATTTTTTTTTTTTGATGGCCAAGTAGTATTCCATATACTACTCTGTATATAGGTGGTATACATATATACCACCTCTTCTTTGTCTATTCATCTGTCGATGGACATCTGGGCTCTTTCCATAGTTTGGCTAGTGTGGACATTGCTGCCATAAACATTGGGGTGCAGGTGCCCCTTCAGATCACTATATTTGTATCTTTGTAAATATATATATATTTGTAAATACCTAGTAGTGCAATTGCTGGGTTATAGGGTAGCTCTGTTTTTAATTCCTTGAGGAAACTCCATACTGTTTTCCAGAGTGGCTGCACACCAGTTTGCATTCCCAAGAGTGTAGGAGGGTTCCCCTTTCTCCACATCCTTGCCAACATATGTCATTTCCTGACGAGTTAATTTTAGCCATTCTGACCCGTGTGAGGTGGTATCTCATTGTGGTTTTGACTTGTATTTCCCTGATGCTGAGTGATGCTGAGCATTTTTTCATGTGTCTATTGGCCATTTGTGTGTCTTCTTTGGAGAAATGTCTGTTCACGTCTTCTGCCCATTTCTTGACTGGATTTTTTTGTTTTTTGGGGGGTTGAGTGATAAGTTCTTTATAGGTTTTGGATACTAGCCCTTTATCTCATAAGTCATTTACAAATATCGTCTCCCATTCTGTAGGTTGTCTTTTGGTTTTGTTGACTGTTTCCTTTGCTGTGCAAAAGCTTTTTATCCTGATGAAGTCCCAATAGTTCAATTTTGCTTTGGTTTCCCTTGCCTCTGGAGACAAGAAGTCTAGCAAGAAGTTGCTGCAGCCGAGGTCACAGAGGTTGCTGCCTCTGTTCTCCTCTAGTATTTTGATGGATTCCTGCCTCACATTGAGGTCTTTCATCCATTTTGAGTTTATTTTTCTGTGTGGTGTAAGAAAGTGGTCCAGTTTCATTCTGCATGTGACTGTCCAATTTTCCCAACACGATTTGTCTTTTTTCCATTGGATATTCTTTCCTGCTTTATCGAAGATTACTTGACCATAGAGTTGAGGGTCCATTTCTGGGTTCTCTATTCTGTTCCATTGAACTATGTGTCTGTTTTTGTGCCAGTACCAGACTGTCTTGATGATTACAGCTTTGTAGTAGAGCTTGAAGCCCAGAATTATGATACCACCAGTTTGGGTTTTCTTTTTCAACATTCCCCTGGCTATTTGGGGTCATTTCTAGTTCCATACAAATTTTAGGATTATTTGTTTCCAGTTCTGTGAAAAAAAATTGATGGTATTTTGGTAGGGATTGTATTAAATGTATAGATTGCTCTGGGTCGCATAGATATTTTAACAATATTTGTTCTTCCAATCCATGAGCATGGGATGTTTTTCCATTTATTTGGGTCTTCCTCAGTTTCTTTCATAAGTGTTCTGTAGTTTTCTGAGTACAGATCCTTTGCCTCTTGAAAAAGAAACAAGTTTACTGTAGTTTAGGAGCCAGTAACTAAAACATGGAAAAGAAGGGATTTGAGATACGAATAGGAAAGGCAGGAGTACATCATGAAGCAGGAAGAGTTGAGCAGGGTAAGGTATTTGGACTTTATTGTAATGCAGGGAAATCATGGAAGGATTTTGAGAGTAGTGGCACCATCTGATTTAAGTTTATAAAGGATCCCTGTGGTACAGGAGGCAGGGTAGAAGCAGGCTAACCTGAAAGGAGCGTGCTGTGGGTAGTCCCCAAAAGATGACAGAGGCTTGCACGCAAGCAGTAGCAGGGGAAAGGGAGAGAAGAGACGGTTTCGGGGTATATTGGGAGGTAGACATGACAGAAGTCAGGGATGTATTGAATATTTGGAGTGAGGGAGAATGAGGTATCATGGTTGATTTCCAGGTTTCCTACTTGAACACTTGGTGCCATACACTGAGAAAGACATAAAAGAAGAGAAACAGATTTTTATAAAGGATGATAGGCAGATAATCAAAAGTTCTGCTTTAGACGTGGAAAGTTTGAGATGCCTGTGAAATTTACATGGGGGGGGGGTGGTTGTAGGCAATTGGATATATGAGTCCAGAGTTCAGATAAAGAGGTTTGAATGACACCTAAATTTACTTCTCAACAACATATAACTGATACACAGATACTTAACTTGAATCATTGGAATGGACTGATCACCTTAAAAGAGAAGGTAGAGAGAAACGAGGGCTTGTGTTCCAGTACCTGGGTTTTAACCTTTAGAATTTAGGAAAAGTAGAAGCAGTGAGAAAGACCCAGAAGAGTATAGAGTTACCAAAGCCAGTGCCTGCCTTGGTAAAACTAGGAGCGCAGAATACCAAGACAGGCTCAGATGCGAGTCAGATTGTGTTTTTGTGGTCCATAGTGGAGGATAATTGGGATAGAATTTCTCAGTCTTGAGTTACTGTCTTGAACTTGAGTCCTATATTAATCAGGCCTCCTTTGGTTCTTTGGTCCAATAGAAACCTAACTCACATTTGCTTAGGGAAAAGGACATTTATTGAAAGAATATCAGAATATGTCCATTGAAGGAAGAGAGTCCCTTTCGTACTTGTTGGGTCATTTTTGTCTTTGTGAGTAAAAACACACACAAACAAGAACAGGTGTAGCTTTCTGAGGTTTTTTCCCCCAGTTGTGCATCAGTAGTTGAGAGGAATATAGAACTTTAGCTTGCATGAGGTCCTTATTTTTCATTATCGGAACTAATGAAAATACTATTTTAGTATGTTTGACATATATTTTAAGGGTATTAAAGAAAAATATCTTGATTTTGTTACCATTTGGGGTTGTCTGCTTTTCAGTAGAATAAATGTCTGTTGCTTTCTTACTTACTCGTGAGGTAATAATAACTGAGTTGTTTATTTTTCTGAGCCTTTACATGTGAATTAGCTTGTGGGGTGCTCACATGCACCCCAGGAGGGGGATGAAGCTGTAACTATGTTATCCTCATTTTTCCCTTGGAAGAAAGTAGGTGAAGTGACTTACCTACAGTGACCCAGCTAGTCACACATCCAGGCATTCTGCTCCAGACCTGTCTCTGCTGTTGCTTGTTAGCATAATAGATTCACCTCTCAAACCATTGTGCAGGCAATTTAGAATTGCATCATGCATCACCTGCATCATCATTTAAATGATGAAAGGCAATTTAGAAATTAACATTTTGGCAGCAGATCTGAAATCAGCCACCGTAGATTTGTAGTTTCTGATGACAGCAACTGAATGACACAATTTAGGCGGGTTTTGAAGAATTACTTACTAATGGCATGGTTTGTATGGTTATTTTGATTATTTACAGTACTTAAGCTCTGCAACTTACTAGGTATGGTCCTTATACAAGATTTTTTACTTTTCTCTGCCTCGGTATCCTCATTTTGTAAAAAGAATATAATAATATTTACCCCATAGGGTTATGAGATTTAAGTGGGTTAATATTTATAAAGTGCCTGACACACAGTAACAGCTCTGTGTTTATTAAATAAATTAAATAACAGGCTAGGGAAAATAGAGCAAGAATAATAGGAGGAATGGTAAGCAATAAAAGCATTAATATGCCCAGCAGTTAACGTGAAAAAGGAAGTAACTTCCAGTTGTAAAACTCCCTTCTGCCAGACAGGTAACAGAAAGCCTGTTTTTCCCTGGAAAAGTTGTCCAAACTTTGTCCTTGCACCGGGAATAAGAGGACCCTTTAGGTTTCATAGAGGTGGCAGATAAACCAAAGACCCAGCCCCATGGGGGGTGGGGCAGGGGGAGCAGAGATTGAGAGGATTCTGTTCAACCTTGGAGTGGTGGGGAACTCACATTTTTGCGGCACCTGTTATGTGCCAGATACAATATAAAGCCAATTTAACATGTTACCTTGTGCTTAGAACACTGCTACAACGGACTTCTTGGCTGAACATCTCTAGACGGGACCTCTAATTTATGACCCCAAATGATATCTGAACAAAAAGGTAGAAAACTTACAGCCCTTGGCGCTCAGTTTGATACACCCTATTTATTTTAGCCATCCACATGAACCTAATCAAACCCTTTCTCATATCCAGGACAAGGCCCATTTATTCGACCCAGCAAATCAAAATTTCTTTCCCTTCCCACTGTTGATTTCTTTTTTTTTTTTTAAGATTTTATTTATTTATTTGAGGGAGAGAGAATGAGAGATAGCACGAGAGGGAAGAGGGTCAGAGGGAGAAGCAGACTCCCTGCTGAGCAGGGAGCCCGATGTGGGACTCGATCCTGGGACCCCAGGATCATGACCTGAGCCGAAGGCAGTCGCTTAACCAACTGAGCCACCCAGGCGCCCCCCACTGTTGATTTCTAAGGATAGGGGATCCTTTGCAGATGAGATCTGTAGGTCTGTGGGGTTTCCTGATGTAGAACTTAGGACTCTTGCTATGATCAGATGAGCCACTGTCCATCATAGATGACTGTTTTGTTTCTGGGACCTATTGGTTATTTGGGGAGTCATCAGAAGCAGAGTCAGGTCTCAGTGGGTGTTTCCTTCCGTAAACCTCCCCGCCCCTTTGCCCAACCCCCAAGAAGAACACATTCACTTAACTTTGCCACCTTGGCACTGTGGCTTTATGCTCTTAATGATCTGCTTCTTCCTGTCACAGATAGAAACGAGTCAACAACTGACCAGTTCCTGCTTAGGTCAAGTATAGAGAGATGGGCACGCCCCAGATGGATCACTTGATCAATTTCCTTGATCTCTACTTCTAAAGCCTTGTTGCCCATCAAGTTTGCCTGATAGATCCTCCTGTCCTTTACTTTTATGTAGATGAACCTGTAGTTTTTTTCTTTCCTTCTGACACATGACCTCTTGATTCTCAACCTACTTGTCCAGACAAGACCTTCAGACATACTTCTTTTGCTATAACATCCCAAAGCATGGTAATAAATTATTAGCTAAGAATTTGCAAGTGCTGCTTTCATTTAAGACAGGAGTCAGCAAACTTTCTTAAAGGGCCAGATAGTAAATATTTTAGGCTTTGCAGACCAAGAGGCAAAGTTGAGGATATCATGTAGGTATTTGTATAACCATTTAAATGTACCCCATTTCAAAGTGGGAAAACCATTCTTAGTTCACAGGCAGTGAAAAACCAGGCAGGCTGGATAGGCTGCAGTGGCCTGATCTAAGAGGATTTAGAATTCCTACTGATAAAAAGACATATGAATATGAGTTCCATTACCACAAGTTAAGCTTCATAAGGATGGGAATCATGATCTTGTTCGCTGATGTTTCCCAGGGCCTATCAGAGTACCTGGAAAAGAGCACTCAGTATATATTTGCTATTTGATTTGGATTGAACACGAATAATACGAACAGTGAGGTAACCCTAGAAAGCGGTGAGCCTGCCCTGAAATCTCTTTATCTTGTTACAGAAACATAACTGGTACTTAAATACAAATATTTCAGTGTTACAGTTTTCAGGAGTGGGGGATGATAGATGCATGTTAATATATGCTAAGCACTATAATAATAAGCAAGGATCAGTGTAGTACTGAATATATGTCAGGCACTGATCTCGTATATTAACACAGCAAATCTCTAAAACATTATTATTATCCTCATTTTATGGATGAGGAAATTGAGGCAGAGAGGCTAAGTAACTTGCCTGAAGCCACATAGCCAGTAAAGACAAAGCTGGAATTCAGACCCTGGCCCCAGAGTCCTTTTCCTCACCATTAAGTTTTTACTGTCTCTAAAGAAGGTTGAAGGGAAGGTATTAGCTATTTTTTTTTTTTTTTTTTTTAAGATTTTTTTATTTATTTTATTTGAGAGAGAGAGAGAATGAGAGAGAGAGAAAGCACACGAGAGGGGGGAGGGTCAGAGAGAGAAGCAGACTCCCTGCCGAGCAGGGAGCCCGATGCGGGACTCGATCCCGGGACTCCAGGATCATGACCTGAGCCGAAGGCAGTCGCTTAACCGACTGAGCCACCCAGGCGCCCGATATTAGCTATTTTTATTCATGGCTGCTACTAGAATGAAAAATTTAGCTTAAAACGGCTTATGAATTCTCTGATTCGTTTTCTTTGTTTTTTTCCATGTTTCTGCCTCAGGTGGTCGAGCACGTCATCATCAAGCAAGCGCATGTCCCAGAGCCAAATAGCTAAAGGGGTCGATTTTGAATCAGATGAGGTAATAAAGTAATATTGTTAAATCTTCATCAATTTTTAGCTGTTTATAAAATCGAAATAAGGACTGCTAAGCTAGTTGCTGGAAATTATTTTTTTAAAATACTTACATTGATAACCTTCCTTTGAACTGTACTTAATGTTAAGAGTCAACAAGTAGCATTTGTTGAGTAAATGTAAATACTCAGATATAAAAGACCTGCCAATTTTTAAAATAGGATATTCACTCAATTCTTAACTTAATTTGCCCTGTTAATCGTGGATCAGAATAGTTTTTCTCAGCTTCTGTCATTTGTATTTGAAGAAGTGGTGATGATATTCTAGAAGTTTTTAATGTTACTTTAATAAAATATTTATTAAGTACTTACTATATGCTTTGTACATTTCATGTACAAAAGGGTACATGGTGGTGATTTTCATTTACAGAGGGGTTTAGATATTGACTGAAGGTGCCACACGGCAGGACGTGTGAAAGAAACTCCAGTTTCTGTCTGGACCAGAAAACTATCGAATCTCTTCTAAACTGAATGAGAAGGAATAGGAAGAGGCGGACTCAAGACTAGCCTCTTGGCTTTACTCATCCTTTGGTTCAGCTGCGTTAAAGCCTGGCCTTTCCTGTTCGTCCACGGCAGCCAGTTGAAGGGCCTTTGCTAGTTTTTGTTGAATTGCTTTAACATGTTTTTCTTAGGTCTATAACCCCTTTCATTTCTTTATTTTTATTTATTTTGTTTTTTTAATTTTAATTTTAATTACTTAATTTATTTTTTAAAGATTTTATTTATTTATTTGATGGAGAGAGACACAGAGAAAAAGGGAACACAAGCAGAGGGAGTGGGAGAGGGAGAGGCAGGCTCCCCGCAGAGCAGGGACCCTGATGTGGGGCTCGATCCCAGGACCCTGGGATCATGACCTGAGCTGAAGGCAGATGCTTAATGACTAAGCCACTCAGGTGCCCCTTTTTTTAATTTTTTAAAAGATTTTATTTATTTGAGGGAGAGAGCAAGCACAAGCAGGGGGGAGGGGCACAGGGAGAGGAAGAAACAGGCTCCCTGCTGAGCAGGGAGCTGTACCCAGGACCCTGAGATCATGACCTAAGCCAAAGGCAGATGCTTAACCGACTTGAGCCACCCAGGCACCCCATTTCTTTATTTTTATTTAAAAAGTTTTTTAATTGTGGTACAAACATAGGGTGTAAAATTTGCCATCTTAGGGGCACCTGGGTGGCTCAGTCCAAGAAGCATCTGCCTTTGGCTCAGGTCATGATCCCAGGGTCTTGGGATCAAGCCCCACATTGGACTGCCTGCTCAGCAAGGAGTCTCCTTCTCCCTCTGCCCTTGCTCGTGCTCTCTCTCTCACTCTCCCTCAAATAAATAAAATCCTTAAAAAAAAAAAAACTTGCCATCTTAAACATTTTTCAGTGTGCAGTGCTCTAGTGTGAAGTATATTCACTTCGTTGTGCAATAGATCTCCAGAATTTTTTTATCTTCCAGAATTAAAAATATCCACACATCGAACAACTCATTTCCCTTTCCTCCCAGCCCCTGGTAACCACCATTCTAATTTTTGTTTCTCTGAATTGGACTGCTTTAGATACAGTGCTGTAAGTGGAGTCACAGTATTTATCTTTTTAGTGACTGTCTTATGTCACTTAGTATAATGTCCTGCAGGTTCATCCCTGCCATAGCATGTGACTCACACCTTTCATTTTTGAGCTTCAGCTGTTGCTGTCATGTTCCTGTATCCCAGCTGTGGCTTTGAACCAGCTTGAGGAGAGGACTCACCAGCAGTTCAGGCTGCAGAGAAGAACAGTAGCATGAGCTCAGTCTCCCTGTGAGATACTCACGTGTTGCCTCCAGGAGGGAAGCAAGCAGTTGTGGACTCATTTTTTTCATTCCAAACATCTAGATAGACATGTTAAATGTTACAGTTAAAGATTTGTATATAGTTCATGTTAACTGCAAAGGAAAACAACTAGCAAATTATTATGCCTCAAGTTGGATTTATCTCTGGTTTTTAATAAGTTCTGCCTTTGTTAATAGCAGAAAATGAATAAATGTGGGTTTGTATTTTTCAAGGCATTCATTTCTCACTAGAGATAGTTAATTTAGCTAACATTTGAATGTGTTGATGGTGATATCACCAACAAAGCTTAACACCAAATAATTATCCCTTTTTATCAATGTCTTAAACATAAATCAGGGGCGCCTGAGTGGCTCAGTCGGTTAAGTGTCTGCTCAGGTCATGATCCCAGGGTTCTGCATCGGGCTCCCTGCTCAGTGGGGAGCCTGCTTCTCCCTCTCCCTCTGCCACTCCCCCTACTTGTGGTCTCTTGCTCTCTCTCCCTCTCAAATAAATTAATTAAAAAAGAAAAAATTTACAGGCAAATTTGCTTTCCCTGAATATTTAACTGGAGAATACATAAAAATCAATTTTAAGTTATCCTCATCTAAATTTTATAATTGGGGCTTATCTGAGATTTGTTAATTTTCCTACTCTTTAAGCAAATTGCTAGTTCTAATATCTGATATTCCTGCCTGCTCTTACTATGCATATAATCTTCAGCCTCATTCCAGCATGAGAACTCTTTCATACGGCTTCTTTTTCCAGAAAGAGATTTGAAAGAATTTGATTTGCTTGGTGCTTTTTGCACCAAGCTACTCTCACTTGCAGTCTGAGAGTAGCTGTCTGCTGCTGGCATGAAATGGGTAATAGGAAATAAAAATTATAGCTATTTCTGAGTTAGGTCATGTGCCTTCATTATTTTGGGGGGTGTTTCCAGAACATTAGGTAACACCAGTAATAAAATGTAATTGGAAAAAAACCTGTTCAAAAAGCAAACAGAAATGACTTGAAGAGTATTAATTTTCCTGGCTTACCATACCTTATTTGCCTCTATTAAGGTTAATAATTGAGAGAAATGTATATGGTATCTATTGTAGGGTACATATACACACACACACATAAATATATCAGGATCAATTATTTTCAGTGCTTCCTAAGAATTGAATTGACTTACTTCCACGGTGAAATAGCTACTAGGGAAGGGAGGAAAAGATAAATGAACAGACTATTCATATTCATAAAGGAAATAGAACAGTGAAAATCTATGTCATGTGAAAGGAGGAAATGGCTTTTACTGGTATTGTTGTTTACCCACGAGCTTGTTCTTGTCTGAGTGAAGCACGGAATGGTCACTCACGTAACATTTGTATGTCATTTCAGGATGACGATGACGATCCTTTTATGAACATGAGTTCTTTAAGAAGAAACAGAAGATAATATATTTAATATAACTTTGAAGTTTTCAAGATTCAGGAAAAATCAAAACATTGCAAGCTAAGAGTTTACAGTTGAAGATTTTTAAAGTATTGCTGTTAACTAAAGAATTTGAAAGAGACTTAACAGGGAAATTTAATGTATAAGAATTTGTGTTTTTGAGTATCATTTCCTGAACATGACTCCTTTGAGAAGCTTCCCAGCTCAAGAACATACAGAATAACATTGGTTCTCCTTATTTTTTTAATCTAGCTGTTAACATTACCTGGGGCTGCTCTATAAAATCAGAATGTTATTTTCTTTACACATACTAGTGTATGTCTTACTGAATGAGGGCTTTGCTTAAATACCATTCTTGAGAGTAGGGATTAAAAGAAATCTATCACTATATATTTCTGCTTCATGATCAAAGACTATGACTGTTTTAATGTAGTTACGTTTAGCTGAAGTTGAGGAAAAGAGCTTATAAAATTTGACCCCTTTATAATTTTAATAATTTCTAGAGATTCTGGATTTCCTGAAGGTAAAATAATTTTTGTGAAACTGTGCCTAAGCTCGCTCGCTGTTCATTACTCTGTATTGTTCTTTTTCTAAAGCTTGTGGTAGTTCAGCCACTGAGACTTTGAATGTTAGAAGTACCTTATGCTTTGAATAATTAGACATATTTGTATTAAAAAATAGAAAAATCTCAGAATTATTAAGCTTTTTGATTTTAGTTGTAGCAGATTTTTAAAAGATTGTATTCCCATTGGTTCCCATTAGTCATTTTCTTCATTCTTTATGGTTCTCTCTTCTCTTACTCTAGAGCTTTCTCATCTATTTCTACAAGGAAAAGTGTTAAAAAAAAAAAAAACAAACCTGTTCTTAACTGTATTTTCCTTAGAAAATATTGAACTTTTTTAGATAGAGTGATCAGTTGAGCATTATATTAGATTAAAATATTGAAATATAATTTCTGTGGACTCTCAATGCCAAAATTTCGTATTAATAATATTTTATCTTAACATCGGACATGGCCAGTTCCAGAAATCTTAGTGAAGCAGCTTTGTCAAGCCCATATTTTCTCCCATCCAAGTACTGGCCAGGCCTGACCCTGCTTAGCTTCTGCAATCAGGCACGTTCAGGGGGTACGGCCGTGGGCAAGCTTGTATTTCTTTACTTGAGTTCGGGGGGAGGGGGACGTAATTTGACCTCTTCAGATCTAAGTTCAATAATTCCATCTCCATCTTTAGACTGTTAAAACACCCCCTGAGTATTTCTTCTTTTCATCTCTGAGGTAGCTATATTTAAAGACTCCTTAGGGAAGTCACAGGTCTTGGTGGCACAACAGCCTGACATTTCTTCACTTGCAGAATTAAACACTTGACTGAGCAATATTCATGATTACTGGCATGGTCACACCTGGACTATGTCAAATTATAAAAGAACATTTGCATAGTGGCTCTCTCCATATTATAGCCCTTGGAAATGGCCTCGGTCAAGAACTGGGATATAACATTCTGTGAGATAAATTGGGATGAAACGTGTTTTAAATATTTAAAAAAAAAAAATTTCTGTACCCAACTTGAGCAAAGAGATTAAGTGAGCAGACGGCATTAACTCAGCAAAGGCATTGGCCTGTGAAATATTTTCAGGTACCTGTCCCGACATCTTTACTGTTCCCAGCAGCAGTGAAGCCAGGAGTGAGAGTTGCTTTCCATGTACCGTGGGAGCAGGCTTGGGTGGCGGCGTCTGGGAAATGTAGGAGACAGTCACGAAAGCATGTTGACAAAGTTCTTGCGAAAAAAAGACTTTTTCTCTAAAAATTGCTCCATGGTATGACAGAGCTACTAAATGTCATGTCGATGGCTCCTAGGAAAGGTGATTCCATGGCAATTAGAGAAGTGAAATTCACAGCGAATCCAAGTCATTTTGTTAACAGTTTGTGTCGCTTCAATATGGTAAATAAAACGTGAAAGAAAATCCTTTCTGATGGAATATTGTTAATGTAGTTAAATATGCCATAGAGCCTTGCTGTTCTGTATTGATGCCATAAAATCTAGGGTTTTTTGGGTTTTCAGACATTTTCAGGTGTTGTGTATAGGTGATTCCAGATGATCGCAGAACACCTGCAGTTGCTCTTGGAGGCCGAGAGAGCAGTGATGAAAACATTGAGGGAAAAAATCCTTCCATCATTTACCAAAGAATATACCCCTTTCTGGTGTTTTGTTCCTATCACAAAAATATAGCAGTGCATTTACAAGGTTAAGAATGCATTGTAGTTCTAGGAAGTATGACTGGTGCTTAGAAAGTTCAAGCATTTAGGCATATGACTTAAATCAGGCCCATAGAAACCATTTTTCTTTCCCCTAAACTTTTAAAATTACAGAGTACAAAAACAGAAAAGTCATGTGGTTTAATAAAGAATTACAAGGTGAGTACTCATGGCACCTCTATGCAGGTCAAGAACTAGACTATCTCCAGTGCCCCGGAAGCCCACTGCGTGTTCTCCCCTCTCCTCTGGCTAACCAGTCTTGACTTCTGTCTTTGAGAAGCTCTTATTTTTGCCACAAGGTGGTGCTTCCACTGTTAGATGGCAAATAGGATGATGCAACAGCAAATCTGAAAGGAGGAAGTTAGTATAGTTTTGCAGTAAATTTGGAACCTATGCAATAATACTAAGCCTATGCAGTAATACCAAATTAGCCTTCTAATCTTAGATGTAAATTGCTTTACATATGTCACCTGGCTCTGCCTGTTACTAAGGAAATTGATAAATTTTACAAATAATGGTTCAAGAAGAAATTTTCAAAGAGAAAAACCCTTTATTAGAAAAATTAAATTAAAAAGTTTCCCATTGTAAAATTTGTCTTTTGAAATGTACTATATTTAAAAATAACTTACCCAGTGTAATCTGATTTTTCAATCTATCATGCATTTAATTCATAGTGTTCTGTAGCTTTTTAAAGCTAATTACCATTAAGATTATTGTAAAAGTTTTATAGAATAAAGGTTTGTGTTTTAAGTCCAAAGAGCTTCCATATTCTTGAATGAAAAATGTCTGCATTTTGTCATTTGCTTATCCCTTTTAATACTTTTTAAGTCACTGTTTATTAGCTAAGTCTGAAGATACTAGGATTTTAGTTTGATCTCTGTATAGCCAGTTCACACAGCTTGCTATTGCCAGCACATTTGTGTATCTTGACTGTGACACTTCACTAGATTTAAATTATAGTTTAAATACAGTTTTTAAATTATAAAGGCAATGTATATTTATTCTTTAAAATTCAAACGTTGGAATATGTATTAAAAATGTGTGGTATTTCCCTGTAATCCGCTCCCCAGACTTAACTCCCAACAGTTAGCTACATATTTCTGCAATTGCTTTAGCATGATTACTGACAAAAATTGTTGAATTAGAACCCCCAATTATGTAGTCAAATATTTTAGTCCTTATATCAAGGTGTATTTTCAGCTTGGTACTTGACATTCTGATGTTTCCACATCCGATTTGTCAACCTCTTTTAGTTAAACCACCATTGTCTGTTTTGAAGGATGACTGTACTGCTTTTCAATGCATAATTGAAATGTTACTATTCATTTGGGTCAAATGCAAGAATGTTCAATCTGTGTGCCTTGCCATCAAAAGTAGTAAATGATTTTCAAAGGGCTCTTGGCCAGTGATGGCACATAATAGTTGATTAACTGAAGGAAGCGCGGTGCGTATCAGGCTGGTTGACCGAGGCCACACTCTTCTGCTTCTTAGAGCCACTCTACAGTCCTGATAATTCATGTGGAGACACCAACACTACTGCATTAAGTACCCTTGATCACATCTCCTGTTTAGTTTCAAAGGTTTCATGTTTACTGTATTTAAAAATCAGTATTTGCTCAACTGTAAGCATATAAATGTAAATCCAGTCTACCTATTACTGCATTTGAATTGATTACAGGGTGTATCTGGACTTGGAGCAAATTACCAAAGGCAAAAAGCCATTGCTTAATAGGGTGAGAGGCACAACTGCATTTCTGTTGGTCCTGTGACAATCTGGAAATAGGACGCATAAAATGAAGGTATCCGTTTTACATTTATTAAAATGTCTTACTATAAATAAAATCAGTCAATCCATCTATCCATCCATCGTAGACAAAAGCTCCCAATGGTTTATCATCCCAATCTCGATATAGAGAGTTTTAGTCATGGTTTAAAGCTAGATCATGGGTTTTTGGTTTTTTTTTAATTTTTAAAAAAATTTTACGTATTTATTTGAAAGAGAGAGCATGAGTGGGAGAGGGGGAGGGAGAAGCAGATTCCCCACTGAGCAGGGAGCCTATTTGGGGCTTTGATCATGACCTCGGCTGAAGGCAGACACTTAACTGACTAAGCCACTCAGGCACCCCCAGATCATGTTTTTCTAAATTCTTATTTTGAAATAATACTGAATTTTGTGGAAGATTTGCAAGAATAATAGAGAACTTTTTTACCTTTTACTCAGTTTACTAATTTTTAACATTTTGTCATTTAAAAAATCATATATGTGTGTATATTACATACATACGTACTCATATTCAGATGTGAATATGCACACACATATAAAAATTTTTTTCAGTCTTTTGAGAGTAGGTTTCAAGGAGTAATGCTCCTTTACCCCTAATACTTAATGTATATTCCCTAGGAATAGGATATTGTCTTACATGACATCAGTACAGTTAGACTTCCAGAAAATTTAACAATGATTTAATACTTTATTTTTTTAATTTTTAAAATTTTTATTTTTTAATACTTTATAGGCCATATTCCAATTTTGCCAGCTGTCCCAATTTCCTTACATAGCATGATTTTCCCTCTAGTGCAGGATTTAATTTTATTTTTTTAATATGTAGAACATGTACATACTTCCAGAAGTCTAACCATTCAAAATGTGTACTCAGATCTTTTCTCCCTTCCCTATCCCTTTCACTCCTTTCTGCTCTACCAACTGTAGGTAAATAATTTCATTCTTGTTTACCCTTTCTGCATTTCTTTTTGCTATAATAAACAGTTTTGTGTATTTTTTACTTTTCCCTTCTTACACAAAAAGTGTGTGTGTGCTCTTCCCCCCCCACCCCCAATAAT